GCAGCCCGACAGGAGGACGCTGGGTTGTTGGGGTGGGTGGATGCAGGCAATGGACAGTGTAAGTCATGAATTCATTTGACATGCTCTTCCAACACCCTACCTACAACCCAACATCCTTTACGCAAACACCCCACCCCCCTACGCCACTTTCCTCCACACAACAATTCTATTCAAATTATATACCAAAAAAAACCCCCTAACACAACCACCCAACACCCCATATAGTCTCCGACCAACGCTCCTGCGACTACCCAGCCACACTCTCCACCTCCGGGTCCCTCGCCCAGTGCTGCACCGCGAGCACATGCACCTTCTGGGAGTCCTGCAGCGCGGGTACGCTATTCGCCGGCCCATCGATCTCGCTATTCTGCGACCAGGGGTACTGCAATACCGCTGTGCTTGTGAGGACCGTGGGTGCGGACTCGGGTGCGAGTTACCTGGGCTGTTGGGCGACGAGTCTGGGCGAGGCTGCGTTTACGATTATAGGGAATGTGGGAGGTGAGTAAGGAGGTTGGCGGTGGGCGGGTGTTGCAGAGATGCTGATGCGGTGGACGTAGGTGTTGGGGCTACAGAGTCGGCGGCGGATACTGGGAGCGGGGTGAAGGTGTCAGAGAGTGCGGTGAGTAGTACTGCTAGGGGTTCTAGCGGTGTGTCTGGGACTGTGGTAGAAATTGGTGGGAGTGCTGTATTGACTTCGGTGGGGGCGGCGGCATCATCGACGACGGCAACTGGTACAGGAGCTGCTGGGCTGGTTGCTAGACCGTTGAGAGGTGTGTTGGGGCTTGTGGTTGCGGTGTTCATGTACATCTAGGTAAGGCAAGGGAAAGTAGGGAGAAATTTATGACGTCTGAGTTCAGCGATGTAATATGTAAATTTCAACGCACTGTGTTCTCTCTTGATAGTAAACACCAATTCATCCATGTTATAAACACGCCCGTCACTCTTTTGCCTTGGAAACTGCACATCAAACACAAGACTCAAATACCGCATCACATCACACGACAATCCAGTCCATCTCTCACAGTCACAGAATACGCAAACATATCCTCTAATCACAGCCTAACTACGCCGTCTTGATCCCAACCAGCACCACTATCATCTGCACTGCTTTCACCGTCCCAAGATAATAGAACAATTCTCACGAGGAAAGCCAGAAACCATCATGAAATTCAGCAAACGATAGCTTTTCATATGGAAAGGCGCGTGGGGACAAGTTGTGTGAGGGGTTTCCCATGCTGTGTGTGTGTTTGGCTTGAGCGGTTGGGTAAAATTGCTTGTATTGTAGTGTGGGATATAGAGAAGTTGGGGCTGAATGGTTAGTTTCAGGGAGTGATATGGAGGAGTGAGGTTGGAATTGCATAGCGGCGCTAGGAAACTTTGTATCCGCGGAAATGTGCGCTCTGTTATTGAGATGAAGCGAGGTGGGCTAGTGCTTTGATGGTGAATCTATCAGAATAGTCGCGCGTTCATTTGACGACCAACAACATGCTGCAGGAGGTAGATTGAACTTTTTTCATCCGGCCATGATCCCCTGGTTTTTGCGATCAGCCAGTCCATTCGGCCGTTATGACAGCCATACGAGCATCCTGGGGCAGAACGATTTCCTTGAACGCGAATCTTTGATCGGCCATCCTGAACAGCCATTGCCACGTTTCTGCGTCACGTTCTCGAGCGTTGTTGAAGGCCTTCATCGATATGTCCATTGCACTGCACCAGTTAGCACCAGCCCAGAGAGACAGACAGAGAGAGAGAGAGAGAGAGAGAGAGAGAGAAAGAAAGGAAACACACCGAAGAAAGCGTTCCGCGCGTAAAGACACCTGTCCTGGATCTGGGATGCAAATGTCGTTGATCACGATCTTGGCGCCTTTTTTCAAAGCTGGTACCAGATTCCGCAGAATGGTAATGCTGTACTTGTCCGACCAGTCGTGCAGAATCCAGCGCAGGAGATAAATGTCTGCGCCACGCACAGGCTGTGGCTTCAAAAAGTCGTGAGCCATGCCTAGCACGCGCTGGCTCAGGGAATCGGGTACATTCAAGTGGGCAATGGTCTCGGGGAGGTCTTGCACGATGCAGGTGATGTCGGGGAAGCGCTCGGCAATGGCTACGCTGACCTGACCTTGGGAACCGCCAATGTCTACGATTGTTCCTCGACCAATGAGGCCAAAGTCGTAATGATCGACAAAATATCTTATGTCGTATGATGGGTGAAGGTGTGAGAAGCTCATGGCTTGGGCGAATTGGGCCTGTCGTCTGGCGTCTTTCTTGATCACATCAAACGGGTTTTCGTTGGTTCCATACGCCAAAGAGAAACCCTATTGGTGAATAAGTAAGTTGTCCGTTCGAGTTGAAGGTAGACGTACACTCTCCTTGGGTTCTTCAGACCCGGGCCACTTCTCCGTCGCATCCACCGCGCGGCTGAGCGCAGGCCAGATCTCTTGCGCGTTATTCATGATCCATGCCTCTAGCTGTGGATTGTTCAGAAGCATTTTTGAGGCAGCTGTGTGGGCAACGAATCCTTTTCTGACCTCTTTGAATACATGCTGACTTGCTGCGAGGCGAAGAAAGCGCGTCACGTCTTTCTCATTCGTTGAAGATGCGCTTGCTATTTCTGCAAACGAGGCAACACCATCCACCGGGACTGCATATGCGATCCTGTGACGATAGAGATACTGTATACATAGCAACAGGTATTGCTGACCGAGTCAGTCTTGAGTGAGATGTGCGATTCGCTAGCCTAGCCTACCTGACCAGAGCATTCAACAAGCAAGCCTAATGGTCCGAGGAGGAGATTATGTAATTCATGCGCCCCCTCTATCGCCGCCTCGCGTGCAGCTGCTACATGGAGTGGCAATTCCTCTCCCGGCATCAGATGATCTCCATGATCAAACGAAGGCTCGGGCAGGTTTTGGCCGCGAAAGAACCTTGCGTATGCCTCTGCATTCTCTTGAACCTGCCTGACTAGAGCTGTGATGCTCCCGATTCTCGCAGCTACCGGTGTTGTGGGTTGGGCCACTTGAGGAGGTGGTGCCGAGTGCTGCAGCCTCCCATGGCCACCAGCAAACTTGTGATGTTTATTAGTTTGGGATCCATACCAGGTGGCAGGATGCTACGTACCATGATTAGCGGCCAGCTTGATGGAAGTTGTTGATGGCGCAGGTTGCCATGGACATTGTTGGAGTGTGTAGGTGAAAGGTAGCCATGTTTAGCCAAGACTATTTGGAGCTAGTCAGGTACCTAACGTTACGTACCCAAGTTACCTTAGTTGTCGTGTCTGTGCGCATGACGCGTTAGGTACGGTCTGGTGCAATGGTCGTCGCTGTAGGTTGTGTAACGTTGTTGTCGTGTAACCAAGTTCAGTTCGACTACTCTACCTTTGATGAATAGAGGGCTTTCCGAGGAAACTTTCTGTTCTTGTTTCCATTCTCAATGGCAAGGCGCAGCCCTACGTAAGGTGCGTGTACTTGGAGTACTAGGCAAAGGCCGCAAGGGCATCGGTCATGGACTTGGATCTCTCGTTCCTCTCGCAGTACCGTACCGTACCGTACCATGTAGGTACCTCTGGGCTTTCACAGATTGTCTGTCATCGTTTGGTTGTGTGGTCTAGTAGGAGTAGACCCAAGTCTTGACATGAACTAGATCTCAGAGGATGCATGTCATCAGAACCCTCGCCCTCTTGAGCTCTCCTCGGACCCAACAGATTTTGTCAATGCCGAGCTACACAACACATTGCCAGATGCAGCCTAGGCAGACCCTTGAGCCCCGCAGGTTTTTGGACCCTGAGCGTGCGAGGCAGCCGGGACCGACGTCACTCGCCAAGCTATGCGATCATACCCTGCTGCACTTTCGTTCAAATAGGCAGACCACGCCTGCGCTCGCCAAGTTCAGAAGGATACTAAGACTCCTTCACCTGCTGATGCAACCTCGAGCTTGGTCCCACCACAAGTCACGGCTATCTCCTAAGACCTACGGCCCGAGACATACGTTCCGTCTTGTCTGTCTTCCATTGTTGACAGGCCATCCAGTGGCCCAGTCCACTACCTAGTCATCTAGATTCGGGAGCTTGGTTCTGTCCTCGTAACTCGAATCTCCCTTGCTGTTCAAAATTCAGAGAAGCTTGCTGGCAACCTATAGTTACACGACTCAAGACGATCCAGTGTGTGTTCATAGCGCATATTGGCCGACAGTGAACTCCCTCGACTAACTTTACCAGAACGACGTACAAGGCTACCATTCCACCACTTCACAATGAGCGAGCAACCATCCCTCCTCACCCCATCCGATGGGCCACACAACCTTCTCACGCCTTCTGCCCTTACCCCCAACACGCGGACGGAAGCTGAAGCGGCCCTGACACTCAACAGCATCAACCAGACAGATGCTGCTGGCCCTGATCCCGCATTGCTAGAGGATGGCACTTCAGAGGCTCAGAAAGCATACCGCCGACCAGGTGTACCCAGAACGAGCTCATTCAACTACCAGGACGCTCTGAGGAGAGCACAGCAGGCCTCAGTATCCTCGAATATGTCGGCCGACTCAGAGGCGTCGGGGAACACTGCCGAAGAAACGGTAGCCTCACCTGCGTCATCAGCAACTCCTTTCCCGCCACCGGGTCAAGGTGTTGTCCCGCTCAACTACGGTGCGGTCGGAGCATCAAGAAGCGACTCGGTAAGGAAAACGAGATCTAGGGGACTCAGCCTGAGTGGGCTTGCACAACAACAGGGTTGGAGTGAGCAGGACTACAAGCGGGTATACACTTCTGACCTCGTTGCCAAGCCAAAAGAGAGTGCAGGTTACCGTTCGGAAGCCGCCCCCAAATCGAATGAACCATAGAGTGCCGTTCGCGTTCTTTTTCAGGATATTCTGGAGGAACGAGGTGCACGTTTCAGTTCCGTCCGTCACAGTAGTCTCGGGTCGACTCAAAGAAGATACATGTACAATATACACTCGAACAGCACAAAAGTATTGGTGGGGCGATCAAGCTAGGGAATGAATTCAATATATTATATGATGTCGTTTTCAGAGTCCTATATATCCTGTCCAATATTGGGAAGAGATAAGCTCTAGAGTTGCACAACTCTCTCTACTTGAAACGACAGCACTTCATCGAAACAATGGACCGGGGGATACCTCCTTCCAAGAATCACATTGCAAAGCAATGTCACCGCATCGGTAGTGACTACCTGCCTGACGACAATGCTCGTGTCCCATACAGCAAGTCTTCTCCATGCAATACTGGTGACAGCTTACTTTCTCATCACATTCGTCCCTACACATCTTCTTGCGCGCGTCACTCACACGCCACTTGCCATTACACTCCTCCTTGCACAAGTCGCGAAGCTTCCGCAATGGACAGGGGGTCAGAAGGAGGCGACGACCACTTGGTACGAGCGACGAGATCTTTACAGATACGCCGTTGGCATTGTCCACCTGCACGGCAGTGGACTGGTCCTGTAGTACAGACCTTGAGCTGGCAATCAAGCTCATCGCGCTCATTTGATGCGTGATCTTGTAGTGCAATACCACAGTTATCAACATACTCCTGGCAGTTGAGGCAGCTGATGACTTGCTCATGGTTTACGTTGCGGCGACTGTCAAGACTAATTTTGGAGTTCAAGGTATGGTCATATGTGTCCTGGTGTAGGCTGCAAAACGGACATTCAGAACACAGGTCGGCCGCACAGATCTGGTCAGCGCTGTATTGATGAGATATACCGTGATCGAGCCAGTCTTCACTGGTGTGGTAATCCTAGTGATGTCAGCCTGTGATCTAATCCCTCACACCCAGCAGGTTACATACGCCCATGAGGTAGCGATAAGTATTGTAGCATGCTGTATCACAGATCCTGTTGACATCTGGTGGCTTGCCAGTCTCAGCGGGTACAAATCTTTGGGCTGCGATTATTGTGATGGACAGCGTTGCGAGTAGACTGAGAGCTTTCATGTTGATAAGTTTGAATCGAGGATTGAGAGGGGTGAGGCAATTAATGATGAGCAGTTATTAGAGCAATCTTCCAACTGATATTCAATGTAGGGGAGCAAACGTTCGCGTCGGTTTTCAACAGGTCAGTGCTTTCAATTTCGTTTGCTCGAGGACGCTCCTGCCTCTTTAACCATGCGCATCCTATAGTTTCTCACAGAGATTGGCGCTGGTAGACCGCGCCGACTCTCACCCGCGCTGTGTATATATTCCTGTCCCTCGTCTCCCTTCTCTCCTCTTTCTCGATACACCTTTGGACCTGTTAACTCAACTAAAAAACCACATCCTACGGTTAAATCCACAATCAACTATGAAGCTCTTCACCGCAATCATGCTCTTCGTCGCCTTCATTTCCATGGCTTTTGCGGCAATCACCTCAGATGCGACCACGGTGCCTGCTGTTCCAACGGTCATCATCCCTCCTGTCACCCTCACTAGTGGCGCCGCAAAGTTCTGCGAGAATATCGGCGAGGTCCTCTGCATCGACAACCAAAAGATCACCCAATGTACCGAGTTCCATGAGCTGATTGGGTTCACTTGCCCCGGGGGTTGCGACACAGATGAGGGTATGAATCATTGCCTTGGAGTACGACCTGCGACCGCCTCTCTTGCACAACATCTAGAGCATTGCCCGACTATTGATGAGAAGCGCTGCGTGGATCGCACTGTCATGGAGACTTGTGGCTATCACCATACCTGGGTCTTCCTACGTGACTGTCCTCTGGGCTGCGGTGAAGGCGCCGACATGAGCTTGTGCGATGGCACTGATGGCAGCACTCTCCCACCACTTCCTACCACCTTGATCATCACTCCCAGCACTATTCCTGAGATTACCAACGAGAGGCGTAATGACGGCCCATGCAAACCCTGGTCTCGGGCCTGCGACTCGGAGCGCCGCTTCCTCTTCATTTGCGGCGAGAACGGTCGCTGGGACGAGGGTAGGCAGTGCAATAGGGCGAATGGGTGTAAAATCCAGGGCAACGATGGCCTCACGTGTGCCGGTCACCCTCATTTCTACTACGACGACAATCGAATCTGCGAGCGCCGGAGGAGCTGCGAGATCATGGGTTACAAGTACTGTCTCGCCGTGAGTCGACACCGTTACGCCAAAATTGTGCATACAAAGAATGAAACTAACATCCACAGGGAGAACCTGAAAACCCTGCTAAACAGGCCCAGTGTTTGGAACAAATGTGTGGCATGGAAGATGTCAGTATTCTTCTACTTTCGAGAGACAACCGCGATCGAAAAAGCTAACACTTGTGTAGTGCCGTGATTGTGACCGCTGTTCTTTCCACCTTCAGCCTGGCCAGAAGATTTGCCCGGACCTGTCCACGCTGTGGGAGGGTTAGAGTCGCCGTGATTCTAGGGACTGCAATCTTTGATTTCGACGATGATGTAGACCAGGGCCATGCTAAATGTGTTGGCGATCAATCTACGTTGGTAAAGTAGAGTCATTCCAGTACGATGTGCAAGTAATGAAAGGAATACTACTGTGATTCAGATTGATTAATTGACATTGGCCACTTTATTCTTCAATCCTCATAACCTGCCGTACTGTATGAAGCCCGGGGGGACTCGAGCATTCAGATAGACCAGTGTGTAGATATCAAGTTCCACCTCTGAAATGAAAGGCTTGATAGGCCAGGACGAAAGAGAATGACAAAGCGTATAATCTCATGTCATTTTGGAGGATGTAGGATACATTCATCTTCATGGGATCACGATCTCTATAAATCCCCTTTGGCCTCGGGGCCAGACAATACAATACTACTCTATCTGCTTTTATCCTAGTCATGCCAAAACGCCACTTGCTAAGCAGCCATCATGGACCGCCGAGGAACCTCGACAAAAGGCCGCCAAAGGAGTGGAGCATTGGATATCGTGCACCGCCTCCGTTCCTGCCGAGCCAGACAGCACAAGCGCCGACCAAAATGGCCAAGCCGACGGCTCCGTAGCGGCGATAGTACCATAGTTGAATCCTGAAATGTCTGAGCTGCTTCCCTGCCTTTTCCAGGGCCAACTGTCGCTGGAGATGGCGCTCCTGTTGTGCGAACAGCTCTTCGCCATCTTGGAGAGATAGTTGGCGCATGCTGAGATTTGTGGCAGAGGCCTTGAGCACGCTTGCAGAAGAGATACTCCACCACTCCCAGCTGTGGAGAGAGGCTGGTGGTAGTCGCTCATAGAGCTCGACGGTGCGGGCAATGTGGAACTCGACATCAAAGGGCTGGGGTATTCTGCCGAGCGTGACGAACAAGATGTCCTCGTCCTCTTGCTCAATCTCGAGCAATTCCTCCCGCTTGGAGAGCACGATCGCTGCAAACATGTAGACGGGCATGACGGCATGGCGTGCCAGGAAGAAGTCAAATAGTCTCGTGATGTCGTTGTAATCCTGTATGACGTGGGCAAACATGGTAATGGTCCCAGCGAGGGCAAAGGACGGCTGATTCTTGGGCAAATGCCGATACAGCACCGGATCAGCGGCGCGTAGGAGGGGACGGAGCAATTGCAGCTGCGCAATGGCAGGCTTGATGGAGGAAAGCATGAAGTCGCGGATGCGCAAAAGGCTCAGACGTGCGACAGCAGCGGGGGCTTCATGGGGGCCGAGGACCAGCAGGAAGACCTGGACAATGTCGTGGTAGCCCTGGAAGTAGCATAGCGCTGGATGACGGCGCAGGACCTCGAGGATGACATGGGAGAGGTCTTGCTTCCGGCGATCGAGCTGCTTGTCCGACTCTGTGTTTGTTAGCCATGAAAGGCTCAATCTTGTACGTGGTACATGTCACATGGCACATGGGTACATGGGTTACATGGATCATATGTAGCGTGCACGGAGCGGTAGGACATGCCGTGTTTGGGATAGTAGACGAATGCACGATTGACGTCCAGGCCAACCTGGTGCTCGTCCTTGTGCGCGGGCAGTTCCTTCCAGGGCACCTGCGTTGGAGTGGCGTCGTCTTTGGGACAGCCCAGCAATAGCGGCCCTGGGGTCCATCAGTCAGCCAATGGCCCGTATGAGGACATGGGACGGTGGGGGGGTGTATGTGGTGTAGGTGAGCAGGACTTCGGTGTAGGAGAGTACCCGCTGTGCTCGTGGGGGCGCGGCTTACAGGCTGTGCGACGCAAACTGTCACTGATAAGACCCGAGTTGCTCGTGGCCAGGTCGACGAGTGTGCTGACCTGCTCCTTCTCGCACGCCTCTCTGATCGCGGCTTCTTTTTCCTTTTCAGGGGGCGAGCGTTCCATGAGAGGGGTGGGGCTACGTGTGGGGAGGCTGCCAGAGCTCACTGAGCGCGAGACGGGCGCTGAAGGTGTGCGTGAGGCCATGAGCGCCTGGGCATCTCGAGTGCGCTGGGGGGACCAGCCAGGGAAGCTGTCACCAAACCTGCAAAAACGATGTGGATGACGTGGTGTTGGCAGACGGTGAACGAAGGGGACGTGTGGTTGTGGCTCGTGACGTGTGGCGTGTGAGGTGTGGCGCGCAAAGGCGAGGAACGCGTCGACAAGAGAGGAGAGAGGGTGAGTGTGTTGTGTGTCGTGTGTCGTGTGTTATGTGTTATGTGTCGCTGCTGGTGTTGGTCTTACTACTCTACGGTACACCCCATGTTTGGCTGCCTGTAGGCTGTTACCGAACGCGTGCCAGGTCGACCGCCGGCCGGTGGACGCGACATTCATGGGTCGCGACATGTCTTACGCGTGCTAGGCAGGTACCAGTACCAGTAGTATGTATGGAGTACTATACACGGTATTGTACACTTGATACTCTACATAGTAGTCCTCTAACCTAATAAAGTGCCTAGGAGAGTCATTTACCAACCCAAACGCTTCCCATCACACCCCCACTACGACAACTACGCTACCCCCACTACTACCATCACCACCACAGTCACCGCCGCCACCACCACCACTACTATTACAATTACTACTACCACTACCACCAACACCAACACCATCATCATCAACACCACCACCACCACCACCCGCGCACATGGACACTCTGACCCGGTAGCACGTAGGAAAAAACATTACAGCTGATCCTACGTACTACGGTACCTACGGTAACCTACGGCAAGGTACCAGTTCCGTAAACATACATACAGAAATACATACACACCACCACCACCACCACCACCACCACCACTACTACTACTACTGCTACCCTCACCACGCCATCTACACTATTCTATTCTACTCTAGCTGCACACTCCGCCTCCTTGCCGTGTCAGGCCCGATCCCCGCTCCCGCTGTCCACACATCCACCCCACCACCACCCATGCACACAACATCCCGAACTTTCGGCCTCGCCTTTCTTCGCCCGCCAATCCAGTCGACGCTGTCATCACCCGTACATCGCCGTCTCCTGCACGCCCGATCTTGATCTCATCTTGCAGGGGCCCTAGGAACACTCGATCCGCATACCATCACCAACTTCACTCGTGGTTCGCTCCACGGCCGCCAAGCACCTCCAGAACGCAGTCGCCATAGCAGAGACTTTCCTGCCCTCGACGCTATAGTGGCCCTTCTGTAGCAGAGTGCCCGGCAGGCCCCAGTGCTAGCTCTTTTGATTCGCTTGTGGCCTTCCAGTCATACGCCAGTATCCAATCTGCTGCTGCACAAGCCGTTGCTCTGCCCCTCTAGCCCCTCCCAGCATCACTGAAACCCTGCGCCCCGTTCCTTTCCGTCTGACCAGCCAGCCTGTGCCATCAGGCACCAACATGTTGCCTGTCTTTACTCTGCGTCGCGTGGCCTTCTGGCTCTTGCATTTCCTGGGTTAAGCCAGTGTCGTGCTCGGTCGCACGGCGCGAGTCTTCACATCTCAGCCACCCGTCATCCAAATCAGTGTGCCCAACCTACTTGTTCCGTCCTCACTGAGCACCGCCCGTAGCTCTGGCCATGGAACATCAAGTCCAGAGTCTAGTCCTAGTCGACAATGAGTGGGTTTCGAGGCCTCACGACGTATATCACATCATGGCTGGCGCCCACCAACAAGACACTGACATGCCGGATGCCATTGCCAAGCCCACGGCTGAGGTGCCTGAATACGGCGTCCTTTCGCGAACCCTCTTCTCCACACCTCTGATCAAGTTCGTTCTACCAGCAAACATTCGTCATAAAGACCACAACGATGTCGTGCTGGTCGGTGAGGACTCCGTCCAGCTCAAGGAAATCCGTGACTACGGCCAGCTCCGTCATGTCGCCACCAAGACAGACTTCAAGGGCGCCCGTATAGTAGCAGCCAAGGTATTTGGTGATCCTCGTGAAGTGCCTACCACCAGGGGCACAGGCAGTCCGCTTCCTAGACAGCATGTCAGGCATAGAACAAGACGATCAATGACGGGAGACGAGGCGAACCTGTTGCCTCCAGAGGTCATTGTACTGACCCTCTCGTCCAGGAGTCTAATGCTCCTCTGGGCGCGAACAGCGCAAACAGGCGCCGTGACGTTTACACATAAAACCATCAGACTTCCTGCTAGCCATTCGCGCACCGACCGCATGGGCACATTCCTCGCCATCGATATCAAGCGGCGAGCCATGGCAGTTGCTGCGTATGATGGACGATTTATACTCTACAAGACCAAGTCCATGGAAAGATGGCGCATGGACAGTCGTACAAATATCGATGCTACACCCATTGAGGATGAACGAATCATCAACATTGATGGCAATATTATGCATATGAGCTTCCTCTCTTCGGGAGGTGGAGTGGACGACCATCATGTCGTGCTTTTGTTCATCGTCGCACATCAAAACAAGACAAAGATTACATGCTTCGACTGGGATTCTAGACAGGACCTTTCAAAGGCTGCTGTGCGTACGGAACGTGTCCTCTTGGACTTTGGTATGGAATGGACTGCTCACACCTGCGAAGGAGGCTAACAATCCCAGAGGACCGGAGCCCATCTTTGCTTATTCCCCTCAGCCGAAGTTCAGACTTCCTCCTTGTATTTGACACACATATTTCCGTCTACAAGGATGTTCTCTCTGGACTGCCAAAAAGATTTCCGGTGCCAATCGATCCTCACATCCTTTCACCGTTAATCCCTGGGGACAGCAAATGCCTACCGAAATGGGTGGGATGGGATAGGACACCACGGAATCCCGAATTCTCCAAAGAGGTCTTTTACATTGCGCGAGAAGATGGACGTGTAATCTATGCTGAACGTGGACCTTCCAATCCTTTGGACATCACCGAAGCTGGTGTGTGGCCATATCGAGTTGACACAGCATTCGCTTGTCTTACGGTTGACAATTCCGAGTTCTCACAATTGTACCCGGACGTCCTCATTGCAGGAGGTTCTGGCAATGACGGGTTGCTTTGTAAGGTGGGATCTTGGCCAAGCGAGTACTCCTATGCGTCACAATACCCCGTGGCGAACCAGATAACCCGCATCGAATCGATATCCAACTGGACACCCTTGACGGACTTGTGCGTCACTCGACTGTTGGACTCCCGAGGCTCCGTCGAACGGGAACGTGCGGCCATTTTCGTGGCAAGTGGCAACAGCCCCCATGGCGAAATCGCAGAGTTAAGATACGGCGTTCAGGCCTCGATTGATCACTTCTTTGGCGGCGTGACTGGATGTACTGGACTCTCCATCTTAGACTTTGGCAGTCTGATGACAGAATGTGATGGAAGACAGCAAAATGAGCACTACGCAACCTTGGCGATAACGCTTCCTCTAGAGACGATTGTAGTTCGTGTGGTACGAACTCAGCCCGAGAGCCGTGGTCCCTGTTCTGGAGCCTGGGAAACGAGAGTCTGGAACACATATCAGGTGCCTTCCGACGATATACCCACTGATGACGGTGTCATGCGAGATGGGGAGACGATTTCTGCATGTCACTGGTCTGATTGGCACTCGATTCAGATTACACGACAAGAGGCTCGCATTTTACTCCGGCCATCCTTGCGACAGCATGCAAACTCAATCACCTTTGACAGTCCCTTATTGTTGGCTGCCTCAGCTTCCGGGGTGCCATTTGTGGCAGTCACTTATCGCGAGGCTGGCGATATTTATCTGGAGATACTGCCAATCTCGATCAGTGTCAGCCTTGGGAGAGCTAGAGCGACTCGGATCCAATTGGCCCATGATCCAACGTGCTTAGAGATTATACAACTTGATGGCAAAGCATACGTCTTCGTTAGCATTCGCGAGTCGGAGATTACGCTATTCCGAGTCGAAGATGAGCGAGCTCCCGCCTGTATGCTATCAGTGGCTCTAAATCAGTTTTGTGAAAGTGCCTTGGTTCTGCTATCGAACGGACAGCCAATGCTCGTCTGTGCAACACGTGATGGATATCTGCTCAACACAATACTCACCATCGACACTGAAGGTAAATTTAGCTCTACAGTAGGCAAATACTTAGCTAACTGGCATCAGCGATAACCTGCGGAACGTGGAATTCTACGAAGATGGGCACTACATCCGCTCAAATCAGGCGCAGTCATACAGACCAATCGACTGCCTTTGTGGCTTGTGGTCCAGACTTTTGTCGTGTGCGCTGCTCCTCCAGAGAATTATCGGGTATTGAGATCCATTCTGTCTGGTTCACTGACCGCAGACATCCCGAGTACTCTCAATCACCTGTTACAGCGATGTATCAACTACCTTTTCTAAACAGGCCAGATTGCGAAGGGAGAAACCTTGGGGGGTTTCTTTTTGCCGTCGCAGGAGATCATCTACTCTTCTCACAGTTGGATTCGGACATTCGGTGGGAAAGCCATGATAACACATCGCAGCCTGAGATGGACTCCGGAGCAATACCTCGCAAGATAAAGACGGGTGCCAAGCCAATGAACATTGCCTACATGGAGTCCCAACGCAGGATGATAGTGTCGGCTCTCGAGGCAAAAGAAAAGTCGCCACGAGATGGGTACCGCGTGCTGTTCTCAACGCTTAGCCTGCTAAAGATGAATGACGAAAAATCGATTCATGATCTGGAGATCAAACAGGAGGACGACAATGCCCCTCCTGAAGGACTTCTACTCGCGCAGTACCAACTGGAACATGCTGAGAGAGTACATTGTGCAATTGAGTGGCCGTTTGTAGATCACCAGGACAAAAAGAGATCACTTCTCATCGTTGGCACTAGCATCCAGGTGGGGCCTTTCAAGTTCAAGGGGAGGAGACTGATTTTCAGCACTGGAAAGAATCGATCTAAACTGCAGTTACAGAAGGATTCTCATTATGATAATCCTGTCTACAGTATTGCCTTGTGGAGCAACAATACTATCGCTATGGTGGTCGGCAAGACCCTATCTTTGGAGTGTTTTGACTCCCAGGCTGGCCGGTATGTACGAGCATTCAGTAACTTTGCAGCTCTCGCCTAACTTTCGCCAGTTGGTACAAGCGTGGGGTTCAGGAGCTATCCTCGCCTGGGATGCACGTCTCGGTCGCGCCTCCCTTCGTATATGTCTCGACACAGAGTCACTCGCACCTCTGCTACAAAGTGAACGGTCCACAAAATGAGCGATACGAATTCGAGCAATACTTTACAGACAGCCGAGAGCGCTCTTGCACTCAACATGCTGTTGTCGACATACCATCGAGCAAGGCAGAAGTCGATCAAGCACAAAGAATAGTGCTAGTCACCGACAAAACAACCTCATCGGTAGTGGCGCTCCACCAGCCCCATGAACGAACATACAAGAACGCGGCGGACACGCTCTTTGAGGCGAACCTCTCGCACACGGTCATACGTATCCAACGCGGCAATATCCGACCACCATGGCGTCGGCCAACTCATACCGACACCATGACAGGTGTCGTGACCGACGACATTATTGGCGCATGTTCTGATGGCACAGTCTACACTTTCTCCATCCTCTCCAAGCCCGCGCGGCATCTCCTCCGCCTGGTTCAAAATCTCGTCGAGGCGAAACAAGCCCGTGATCCAGCATACCGGTTCACACCTGCCACTCCGCACAGCGGGCACATCTTTAACGTCTTGATTAACGGTGCTAGTGGTGTGCAGGATAGCAAGATTCGCGCACGGGACGTGGATCCGGTGTATCAAGAGAGCGGGCAGGCGGGGCCGCGGCACAGACACATCGACGGGGACTTACTCGTGCGGTGGCGTGACGAAGGTGGGCGGTTGGAGAGGTTAGTGGTCGCAGGTGAGGCTGTGGATAGGGATGTTGTAGCGCTATTCAGAGAGTATGCGTCACGGGTAGATTTGGGTTGGGGAGATGTCAGTGCTGAGGATGTGTTTGCAAGGGTGGAGAAATGGATGAGCGAGGTGCTTATGCCTGTGCTTTGAGTGGCAGTAGAGTTGAGTGATTGAGGAGAGATTGGTAACGGAAAGAAGGAAAGAAGATGTATCAAGGATGTCAAGATGTGTGGTAATTCGACGAGCAGTTCTGGCTTGTGGGAAGTCTTGGACAGTACAAGTGTTGAGTTGAGTTGCACTGATTTGTTGAAGGCCTGACAGTACATGTATATATCTATCTACCTCTCCCCCTTGCACACATAACTGCGCTGGGTTTCATACACACCTTGCCACCCCATTCTCCCATCCCCACAAGAACTCACCCTCTAGCCCTTCCGTCTCTTGGAGCACTTGTTAATTTACCCCCACTTTGACCCTATACTCTCACTCTTCAACCCACAACACTCATACATCCCATACCCATACCAATACCCAGTGTCTCCAAGGGCCAATGCAATCACGCTCACGCTGGCCCTTCTCAACGCTTGCAAGTCAAAATTAGACCCACGGCGCGCTGGCTGGGTTGGGGGAATGGGAAGGGAAATGGTGGATGTTGGGGTGTGGAGATGGTTGTGAGGAGGGGGCTGGGGGCTGGGGGTTTGGGTTTGGGTTTGGGTTTGGGTTTCGGCGCGGTTTGTGTGGTGGTTTTGGGGGGCGGGTGCTCTGTCTGTGTCTGTGGGCGTGTGTATGTGTATTGTGTATGTTGTATATATTGTGTATATCTAACATCTACATCTACATCTACATCTACATCTACATCACCCATCCCACATACCCACACCTGCCTCCTAAGTATTCAACTCGCCTCAATCTCCCTGGCCTCAACCAACGTACTCATCCAACCCAACCCTCCACAGCCCGCCCACTTCTCCAACCTAGCATACCGTGTTTATAGCCAAGGTAGGGAGAGTATCGGAGACAGGGCATATCGTCATGGTACCATCATGAGCGCTGTAGATGTAGATGTGGATGTGGATGCAAGGTGCGAGTACATTGAGAGATTAGGCATTCTTCAATCAGGCAGGAGTCGAGAAAGATGGTTTCGGAGGGGGGAGGTCATGGCATTGGGCAGTGCTGTCACTTGGTGGTGGTGCTGGTGGTGGACGGTATACATGGCATCACAGCTCCACTCGGTTGTGGTGGGGAGAGCGCAGGGCCAGGTGCAAAGCTTGGCAGTGACCAAGTTCCATCAGCACCCAAACAGCCAGTCACCACAAGTCATCATGGAACATGAATTCAGCATCGCAAAGCTTCGGCCTTGATTCTTCGGGTCGAATTGGCTTCATTGAGCTTGCATTAGGGAATCCGCACACGTCACAGGCCCAGCCAGAGGCTCCGCACAGGTGGCTCGGCAGAAAAGACAGATATATCGGAGCTTTGAAGTGGTAGTCTGCTCTTCAGATTGCTCGTCTAAAGTACATGTTTTACACAATCTGACCGGCCACTAGAGTGAGAAGGCGGTAGTAGTCGACCCTATGCACACATACACACGTTCCTTCATTCGGCAAAATTTTCCGTTTTGCGTCCTGTCCCCCATACCGATGATCCCACCAAACGTGTCCGGCAGTCGATGCAGTGCATGCATCTATGCGACGTAGAGGAGCAAGAACGACATCATGAGCGCGAAGAGACCAGTAGCTTCGGCGAAGGCGAAACCGAGAACGGCGTACTGGAAGAGCTGACCCCTGAGGGAGGGGTTGCGGGCGACACCCTGGATGAGACCACCGAAGACCGTTCCGATACCGACACCAGCACCGGCAAGGCCAATAGTGGCCATACCAGCACCCTGGATCTTGGCGGCAGCGACCATGGCGGCAGCGGTGGACTCGGCGACGATGCCACGCTTCTGGATGATGTTGCGGGCGGCGTTGGTGCGGAAGGCGCTGCGGGCAGCCACGAGGCTGTTCTGGGTAGGCTGGCGGGCTGCGAGATGAGAGTCAATGGCTGCTGGATGGAGGGAGCGAGGGCCGAGCTTGGGCTGGGGGATGCCGCGAGCTCAATGGATGCTGCCAATTCGGCAGGCGCACAACAACATACCAGCGTTGGAGAAGCCGCGGGCGGCCACGCGGGCAGCGCCAAAGGAGCGAGCAATGGCAACCATTGTGAGGGTGGTGACAGCCGGAGTGGAGATGATTTGGAGATGAAGTGAGCTTCCAATGGATGGGGAGGATGGTGGGAAGAGGAGGGAGGAGCTGGCGTGCAAAAACTCGCAGAAGGGTTGATAGGCTGCCAAGGAGGGGGGAGGCCAAAGCTCTCGTCGATTCGGTTAGCGCCCAATTCTTCCCGAGTCCTTCCAGAGGCGACGAAGAAAGGTACGGTACGGGTACTGCGTCTGCTACCTGTGTATAGTAGTATTCATAGCAGCGACAAGCCATGGAAGATGTTGCCCATCAAACGCCATGTGCAAGATGGACCGCATACATTCAATTCTGCACTGGTGGTGGTGCAGCAGCAGCCTAACATCTATTCACCCCACGGGACCGAAACATCCGAGCCCTCCACAAAACTCCCCTCCTCACCCCCCCTCTACTTATAACCTTCATACAGTATACACAAAAATTCTACAAGTCTAGAGACACACTATAAGAGTCTCCAGTTCCACTCACAAACACACAAACACTGCCAAATGCATGCACTCTCAAAGTAGACAAGATCAAGAAAAAAAACAACAAATCAATGCCATCATCATATCCCATTCAACCTGAAACTACAACCCACCACCACTCTCCCCAGACTTTTTGATAAACATAACCATAGCTGACCCTTCCATTTCCATCCCACTCGGGCCCATTGCGTTACCCACCCATCCACACATCAGGCCTGGTATCAGCAATCCATCCATCCATCCATCCATCAACCAACCAACCAAAAAAAGAAGAGGTATTACAGTAGGCGCACACAGCGGCCAAAAACAAAGTGGTATGCAGACATTAAGTGGTCTTTTTGCGACCTACGCGAGCTTCGATGTCGAATGCCCGGATTCCGATGCAGGGCATAACCCAGACGAAGAGTGTGAACCCAGCCCGTCCGTAAGCAGGCACACATCGACGACCTAAGCGGTTGAAAAACATCAAGCGCAGTCCCCACACGTAGAAAAGAAAACCCCAATCATTAGACAGCAATAGAAAAGATATCATGAGGGAGAAGCAGCCTTGGCGGCTACTCCACCATGGCACTGATGGGCGTACCGGCGCGGCTCTCATCAACCAGGTCGCTCATCTTCATCCTCTTGTGGCGTGGACTCTCTTCCTCGATTTCCTCTAACCGCCTCTTGAGTTCGGCTTCGCGCTGCCTGACCTCCTCGAGCTCTTGTCGCAGGCTCGACTCTGTCTGGCGTGCCGACTGCTCGCTCTGCTCCAGCTCGCTGACACGATTGCGGAAGAGATCGTTGATGAGCTCCATCTCGGACACGCGTGTCTTTAGAGCCGTGTTCTGGGCAGCAAGCGTGTCGTATGGCAGGGGAGGTTCGAGGTGGGATCCGTTGATGGAAGAGTTGGCGGGGGAGGGCGCACGAAGGCCAAAGGTAGGAAGGGTTGGGGAGTGGAAGTCGCCATTCAGGGCCTGCTCAAACATATGCTGGGGTGCAATGTTGGAGTGGCCAAAGTTGGGCGTGCCGGTGCGCGAGATGGGAGATTGCGAGCGATCGGAGAGGGCCGAGGAGATCTTGCCCGACACACGTCGGTGCTGGGCAAGGCCTAGCTGACCATCGGCGTCTGGGTGGGCAGCAGGGAGCCCGCCTTGGTCGCTTGTCTGTGGAGGTGGTTAGGAAAAGTTCTTCTTCTTCTTCTTCTTGCCATGTGGGGGTTCGAGAAGAGGCATACCCTCTTGCGCCCGCCTGGGCCACCCGTCTTGATACGGTTGCGACTTTTGATGACATCGGTCTTGAGCGAAATGGGGCGCGGTCGGCCGTGCAGCTTCAGGAAGAGGCCGCAGGCATTGCAGAGGACGGCACCGGTTTCATCGCGGCGCCAGAGCGGGGTAGTGCTTGTGGTGCAGTTCTGGCAGACGGGCTGTGTGTAGAGACGGTTTCCTGGTCAGCAAAGAGAGCGAGAGAGAGGGAGAGAGAAGCGAAGGCGAGAAGAAGGGCAGACAAAGTGGTGTGTGATGGTGAAGGGGGGATACAGGATGGGCCTCGATGGCCTATCGATTAGATAAGACACGAGATTGGGAGCACTGCCCAGCGCTGTCGCAAGCACGCGTGCTGCACACACCACAGCGCCCAAATGAAAAAGAAGAAAACTCACCGGCGAGCCTGGCTGTCCACCAGGAGTTGCGGGCGCAGCGGTCGCATAGGTCATGCTGAGGCCATGAGAGGGTCTATGGGACTCCATGTCAGTGGGGGGTTTTGCGTGGAAAAGTTGAGGTGCGGCAGCCATGCCAAGCCCATTGCTGCGATAAGCCCTTCCAAGGCTGCCCTCGATGCCGGGCGCGCTCCATTGGAGTGCAGGGGCCAGCCGGGGCAGCCATCCACCCCTTCACCACCACGACCAAACACTACCACCACCACAGCGACCACAACCACCACGAGCATCACCATCACCATCACCATCACTGCTAACCACCATGCCCCCACTAACTGTATTACCAGTATCGTCGCCACCTAGAAACTCCCGCTCTAGAAAAACGTACCTTGGTGGAGACGGCATCTTCTTCTCGGGCGTGTCTCTTTTCGTAGTCCCATCATGGCTGCTGTCCTGGCTGTGATTCGCTGTAGGAGGGCTTGTCGATGCTACCGAGGCAAGTGTCGACAGGGCTGGCAGCTGGATCGAGGCATGGCTGCCATGTCGTTGCTGCGTGTACGAGGACGCCACGGTGGAACTGGACGACGGCCTCGACAGGTCGTGGCTAATCGAAGGCAGCTTGTCGTCAAACGGGGCGCTCGAGGGCGTTTTGAAGGCCGGTAGGTCAAAGGCTTGTAGGATCGAGGGTCGTCTAAACGTGTCGTTGGCCTGGGGCCTGGGGAGAATCGAGGTAGCCAGTGCGGAAGCCGTGGTGGGATTAGGGTCGAGAAACGCGTGGCGCTTCTCGTGGTCGTAAGGCTGGAGAGCTGTCTGGCGTAGGATGAAAAAAGACTCGCTTTGGCAATGACTAGTGCCAGAGAAGGGAAGAAGAAGAAAAATGCGACAAAGCAGGCCGTTCAAGGCAGAAGGAGTGTGAGGATGGTATTAGAATAGAGAGCGATGGTAAGGAGCGACGGTGTGCAAAAAGGCAACGAGTACAAGAAAAGAGTGTCGACGACAAAAACGAGAGTCTGTCTGTAAGGCTGGCTGGCTGGCTGGCTGGCTGTCTGTCTGTCAAGAGGAACGAGCTGCGACGGGGCAATGAGCTGCAAGGCACACACCATACATTCTCTGCGCGTGTGCGGATAAGGGGTCATGGCCTGGAAGCTCCCCCGTATCGATGCTAGGGATGCTATCGATATCCACCCAGCTTAATTAGAACTAATTTCATCGCCTGCATGACCTCAGTTTCTCCTCCCGAAGCGCTACCCCCCCCCCCCCTTCCCAGTCGGCCCCCGTCGCGTCTTGCTTTGAGCATGCAACTGGTTTGTCGTTGATGGTATCTGCTGCTGTCCTCCACGACACAATCCCCCACTCCCAGATCTCAGAGCCTGCCTACGCACAGGTCACAAGGCTTCAGCCCCCGTCGCCAACGGCTTCGCTACGGTAGGTAGGACACATGTTACTTACTCTAGGTGAGTAGGTAGCCAGAGCCAGAGCCAGAGCCAGAGCTAGAGCTAAAGCCAGAAAAGGCTGTGTAAGACAGACGCCCTACGCCCAAGCTCTCGCAGCAAGGTCTCGGAACAGAAGAATTGCCCATGAAACGAAACAACGCCTTTCCCCATGCAAAGGCGCGATTGTCTATCGTTCGCGGCGCTTACTGGATTGCCCCTGAAGCTTAGTAGCGACGCTAGGCCCCACTGGGTGCACATGCCTTTGCCCAGCCCAAGGCCAATCACCAAGATCCATGGATGCCACCAAGATGCCTCCTGGCCAACTGCAATCTTTCCTGCCTCCCTCCCAAACACACAAATGCTTCCCTTTCTGCTTTCAGCTTGAGCGTGTGTGTACGTCCATGTGGCCCTATCTCATTGTCAACTTTCAAGAGAACGTCGAAAACCAAAACTTGCGTTTACCTACAGGTACAGGTACGGTAGGTAGATGACCATACCCACTTCCAAACTCCTAAACTAGGTCCCTATTTGGGACCCCCCTTGGATACCCAGTACCCTAGAGTGCATGTACAATAGGACGGTACACACATGTACATACTTACTCCGTACACGTGTACCTAGCGCAGACTTTGCCTTGCCGACGGACGCTAAGCTGGCCTCGGTTTCATTACGCATCTCAGCGATCCGATCTTACCATGTAGGAGTATGGTGCCTCTGTGGATCTCAATCTACCAACACGCGCATCTTTTTCCTGCTTGCTTTCATCATACGTCTTGTCAAACTGGTGGGCTCATCTTAGATGGCAGATACATAGTGAGTCCGAGGTCACATGAATCTCTCTGATCAGAAGCCCTGACCCTTCTCGTTATTGTCTCCTCTTATGGTCAATTCTCATTGCAAACAGCTTATGAACTTGCCTGCAATATGTCACTGCCCGCTGAGAATGCGGGTGAATGTCATTATACCTGTAGCTAATATACTCTCACGTGCATCCCTTAGCTTACATATAGCATCTGAATCGCCTTCTTCCTAGTGCACAGTATAAACCAATCGCCACCTTCATAATCTCATCAGACCTTTTTCAATTCCTTAACTCAACTATAGAATGCTCGCATTGGCACCTCTGACACCGTCTAGGTAGCTGCTAATCTAAAGCACACCACATCACCATGCACAGCTCCAAGCCTCCCATCCTCCGCATCCCCTCAAAACATACCATTGCTTATTTAGGGATACAGTCATAAGAATAGAAACCCTCGGTCACACCATCCTTAGCCATGGGCTTTGTGACAATGAGCTGCTGACCACTCGGCTGCAGCACACCCTGCCACGTCTCCGCGTAGGCCTGGAAGTAGACCTGACCAAACTCGTTGCTAGAAACCTCCATGTCAGCGCGCATATTCGCCGAAGCCGGCTCTCCCAGCAGTAGACTTACTCTTCGCAATTGATTGTAATCGTACTTGCCTGGCCACTGGTGGTTGTAGTGGACGAGGAAATCTCCGTCGACAGCGATGCGCTGAGTATACCTTCGATGCCGGCAGACACCGAGGAGCTGAAGGAGACGCTGTCTGTCACGCTCTTCTCTTCAGACCATTCCCAGGTGGAACCGCCGGGCAGACCGGGCCCGATGTTGTGCTTGAAGTTTTGGGGTTTGGCATAGGTGGTGTGGATGCCATATGTGAATGACTCGTCCTGGATCCTGTTAGTATATCGTCGATGTGGTGTCGTGATGAGATGAAGCCAACTCACGCCATCAGCTCGCTTCATATGATCGCCACGCCTTCCCATTGGAATGAGCTTCGACACAGAACGCTTAGCAGGCGGGTCGTAGGTCGGATTGTTGCGCACGCCAATCGTGTAACGACCACCAAGGTCAACGGCAGTGCCGCCCGTGCCAGAGGGAAAGCAGGTCGTGCTGACGCCGTTGATGGCGTTGAAAATCTGGTTGCCAGTCACAACATACGAGTTGTCTTGCCAGAAGATCTCGACCTGGCAGTTGCTGCTGTCACCCAAGTTGAAGACTTGGCCGTTTGCTGTGACACCGGATGGCTTCGTGTAGGTCTGCGTGCCATCGGTGAAGGTGTTGAAAAGATCATTGCAGTCGCCAGTCTAGAGATTCTTTGGTTAATCATGAGATGGTGGGTGTGAAAACATTCTTCACGTACATCGGGATATTGCTGGCCGTTGCATTCGAAGCGGAATGAGCCTTGTCTGGCGGTGATGACACCGGCTTGAGCGACGCCAATGAGGGCAAGACCAACTCCGGAAACTGTGACAGACTTCATTCTGGCGTGGTGGGAAATTGATGGACAAGTAATTGGGTTCGTTGGATGAATGACAGATAAGTATTGGAGGGAAAGTGAGCTGAATTGTAGTGATTGGTAACTGTCAGGAGAACTTCTTCACTACTTATATTCTCCCTTTCCTCGCTCCATCCTGGCCACACCATTGATCTGCATCAGGAGTCCCAGAAGGGTGCACGATAACAATCACCATCTTCGACCAACCCATCACTACAGTTCGTGATAGCGGGGATGTCAACAAGCCGTGCAAGGTTACATGTTGATCCTTCAAGCAATCCCAGCTCGAGTCCCATCAGCCCGGTCAACTTGAGCATGACGGGTAGTGGGAATCCCTCAGAAGCAGATTCCGCCTGAATCTGACGATCTCTGTTCCATGCAAATGGGTCTGATGCTCGATCACTGGTCACCGTACATATGGCCCCCATTCCCAGGCCCTTTGGCGTGAGCACGTTTCCTCATTGATGTTCTGTTCAGCGTTGTTTCGATGACGCCTTGATCCGTCACACTGGGATGGAAATGGTGTACATGGATACCATATGCACCGTATGGCCGTATTGACACGTTTGTGTCAGGATGTCAACGGGAAGCAACTACACACGACAGTGCATGCTTAACAGCGAAGCTAAGGGCCTTCAGATCTGGAAACTACTTTGGATATTCGGAAACAAACTCGACCGTTTAGGTTAGTGATACTGTGATGGCTAGATCTTGATCGCCAGGCCCCAGACCCCAAGTCCCATGTGCGCGACAGGGCTGACTCCGCCTGACGGTTATGGCCCCCTCCCATACTTCCATATGCAGCACAGTCAATCAGATTGCCAGGCGTCGAGAAAAAGTAGTTGGATAGCCAGAGCAGACAGGAGAACGGCGTGCACCCAGGTACAGCACTGATGCGAGGTCGCCATGAGCATGACTGCTGTCATTCCTGCTTTGATATCTGATCACAGTCCCTGATACCTACATTCAGCATCCACATATATCTACAAAGTCCTTACACTTTCAACACAACATGTCAGATGTACGGGAATAGGAAACAGTATCCACCGGGGTACATGCCAAGCTCCTCACAAACCTCCAGCCACCTAGGTGCATCGCAGTGAGTCGCACTGAATCATTGCTACAAACCCAAGAATAGAGTTTGCCTGGCGCCCGCATAGGTAGGTGGGGACAGCACTGGATCGTCCCGGGCTCTCCACATGCCAAAGTTAAGTCAAGTCTACCCCAACGGAGCCTGAAGCAGAAGGTCTTCAAGGTACAGTCGCCTGAACCCACATGCTGGCGTTGATCCAGGATGACTGATTTAGCTAAGAATACATGCCTTCTGACCGCCACCTACGTGGTATGGGATGCCTAAGGCTGCGGATAGGGGGCAAAGCGGCATGCGAATGTTGACTAGTGACTAAGTTGCGCTATACCGTACAGTATGCCAAGGCGCCCACCCGTGAACTACCTTCTGTCTATTTTTTTTTGGACTGTGTATACCGCATGCGGAAACCCGGGGCCCATGGGGGTTATTTAGCTTGTACAGTATGTTCGATGGCCGGGTTGATGGGTGCATTGTGGTCATTGTAGACTATGCTTTACTTTTGGAGAGAAACCAAGGTGACGCTAAGAAGGCTGAGACAAGAGGTTGGAGGGAAGCGACTACTCCATCCTACCTATACGACAAAGTATGTACATACAAGCCAAAATGACGTCTTCTTTGGGTCCATTGTTACCAATTGCTTTTTTCCCGCGATGATCTTACCAAGAAGAGTTCTCGTGCGTCCTGCTACTGTGGCGTCTTAGTCACAATATACGGGACCAACACTTCAGCAGAGTGTCAACTCTAACGGCATATGCTGAATACATTCGGGGTCCGAAGATCGCCGTACTGCCCCCGAATCTCATCCCACTTCTTGGAAGGTTGCAATGGCGGTTGCAAGTGACATTGGGAAGGGCGTCGATCCTTTGGGAAAGCGAGGAGGAGCGGCAAGAGGTCCCACGATCATCGAGAGTGAGAAGTTGACGGTGTCCATGGGGGGAACCTGGGACTGGGCCAGGGACAAATGTACTTAAGGGCATCGAGTTCAATGTGCTCTTCTCTTTCTTTCAACCAACATATCTCTCGGCTCAAACACTTTTCATCACACAACCACAACTACCCACATTCACAACCTAAACCCTCCATCCTCCACAATGATCACCACATCCACAGTAGCAAAGGTCCGCCCTCCTGCCACCCTCACCCACCCCTCTCCCCCCATCCCTAACACCCACCCAGGTCCTCCTCAGCCTAACCCTAACCGCACACCCCGTCCTCTCCCTCGGCATAAACCTCGCCCAATTCAGCGGCGGAACCTGCGAAGATGACACCTTCATCTCACCCATCATCTACTACACCGCTGCCACCGGCGACTGTTTCACCTGGGACACAGCGGTCGGGAAATCCTTCTCCGTGGACACGACGACGGGCCACTTTGTCTGTGCGGACAACCAGTACGCGGTGCTGCAGGTGTGGCAGTCGTCCAAGAACTGCGATAATTTGGCGGATGCGAGTGTGGGCGCTTTGGCGACTATGCCGACAGAGGGGGGATGTATTATTGCCCCAGTGCGGTCGGCGCGGTTGAAGTGCCAGAATAATGATGGAACTTAGAGATTGAACGAGGGGTTTGACTTATGCTTGAAATATGCAGAAAGGATAAATGAATACTCTGCTTGTTCCCCTCGAATCTATGCAATATTGTTGCAATCTACTACCTATTCGTCCACCAACACCATACAATTATCCCCCGATCAATCTTTGTGCTGAACAGTGTCGAGGGTTTCGGAAGTTGGCAACGATATACGTGGTACAGTTGAGTTGCCGGAGAATGGTCGAGCGTGTATGCGTGCGGAAACTCTAGGCTTGAGGAAGTGGTGGCGATAGCGCCAGTGAGGTCAATGAGAGCATTTTATCGTGGACTTTGGTGGACTTTGAACTATGGTGGAGTTGGCTCATATACATTTGATTTGATAATAATACACATCACATAGATCCAGTACCAGTTTCAGCTCCGCTTTGAACATGCATCCTGTACCGAATTTCAGCACCGTTATCGTACCCTCTCCTCTTCTTCCCCTCTCTCCCACCGCTTCACCCAAAGCTAGCAACCACAACCCTAATGCACATCATTAAAGTACTTCTCCTGTAGCAAATCACTGGTCCTGGGCATACTCTCAATGGCCCTCAACGTCAACGGTGCCGCCTCGCTCAACCGCATACTGAACCACATCCGAGTCTCCCTATCATAACCCACCCCGTTTCTCTCATCACTTTTGACTTGCGCAAATGCCTTGGCCAACAACACCAACGTCTTATACCTCGGAAGCACACTCGCCCTCTTGATATCATAATGGCGTAATTCCATCCACTGGTACCCCTCAACGTTTCTACGCCTGTAGCCTGGCGTAAGGTTCCGCCAGCCGGGAAAGCGCGGCATGAGATATTCCTCGCAGGCTTTGAAAGCTTCGAGGAGGTGCGAGTGTAAGACAAGTTGTTGGATGAACTCATTCCAGGTCAAGTTGTCGATTGTATAACCGTCGATGAGAAGACTGCGAATTGTGGCAGATGCAATTGGTATGACTTCAGCTTGGCTTTGAGCGAAGAGACTGCGCATGTATATACGGCAGGGTTTGACAAGGATGTGGCGGCGATTGTTGGCGATGCGAGACTCTTCATAGCGCTGTTGGACGACCGGACTGAAGAGAGAGGCGGGATCTGTATCACCTGAGCTTTCTTCGCGGACCTGGCTGAGGGTTTTGGTGAGTTTATTAGCGGAAGTGCGGGCAAGTTCCCATATCCTGGCGACCTCGGCATGCTTGCCTGCTTTGAAGTGGGCTTGCATAATGGCGACGGTGAGGGTAGTCGGGAGGGCGTTGTCCTCTACATCCGGCGCCGCTTCCATTGCCTTGTTGAACAGTCTTTTGCAGATGGCGTACGCTGAACGAGTCGTGTAAAGTGAGATCAAGGAACCATAATAGGACTGAGGGAGCGAGTTGATGTCATGTGGATCAATATATCTGGAAGTTTGTGGCTCACGATTCGCACCTGCGCGGATTGTATTTGCGACAAGCATTTCTTGGAGTGCTTCCTCGACCTTCAACAGCTTGTAATTGGTATGTTTCGCTCCTCGCTCCTCTAGTTTCTTGAGGTCGCTTTCACCGAGGACCTGCAGTGTTGCTTTGTTTGAACTGGGTGTTTGCGGTACTTGTCGCTCAGCCATTCTGGCCTGGGCAGCCGATGCAAGTTTGTGTTGGCCCTCTCGCATGAAACCAGCCATGACGATGGCGTAATGAAACCCGTGAACTCGGAGGTTATATTGTGGCATTGTGACCCGTAGAATCTTATAAGCAGCATTCGTTTGCTTGACTTGCACCAGAGCTCGCATCAGACTGCCATATGTCCAGGTATCAAGCGGAATGTCATTCTCAATCATTTGTCTGTAGTACTCGCGTGCCTTGGCAAGATCACCGTTCAGCGCATAGTGCTGTATCAAAAGATTCCAGGTGTGAGTAAGTTGGCCTCCTTGAAGGGTTCCAGCTTGCCAGCTCTTGAGAATACCCGCGGCAATTGCAATGGCACCTTCTGGGTCGCCTGCATTCAAAAAACACTCGACATAGCCAGACCTGGCTCGGACATCGGAATTCAAATCGACGCCCACCTGCTTTGCTTTCGAGAAGAGTGTTTCAAATGCTTCGACATCTCCTCGGTGGGCCGAAAAGTCGAGCAAAGGACCAAAGGTTTTCGCGTCTGGCTTGAGACCACGATCCAGACAACCATTGAAACATTCGAGAGCTCCATCGAGGTCGTCCGCGCGGACATGGGCCAATATCAGGATGTTCCAACAATAAATATCAGGCACAAGCTTGAATTCGTCTTGAATTCGCTGAAATTGCGCAAGAGTCTGCTCAACATCGGCACGCCGAGCATGAACGTAAAGCAAGGCTGACAAAATCTTGAGGTCCAGATCTTTTGGATAGTGTGCCTGAAGCTCTTGAAAGAATTCTTCCACCCGAGCATGCTCCCCATGTTCAGCAAAGGTGTATATCAAGTGCAAGAGCATCGGAGCTGGCAAAGGCTTGCCGGGATACCAATCACGCAAATCCTGAACGTGATCCATTATCCTTTTCAGCCCGTTGTGTAGACTATGGTAATAGATGAGCTGGCCGATGAGAGCCTGTGATGGCTTTTGAGTGGGAACTGGCAACTTGGCGCGCTCGAGATAGTCCTCTCTGTAGTCTCTGTAGAGCTGGAGCCAAATCTTGCGTTTGTTGGTGTAATCTCGATAGCGTGGTAATTTCAGCATCTCCGTAATGGCGTGCTCATAACAGGCCGTCGTTGGCAGAATACCAGTTGCATGCATGTCGTCGAATAGTTTCTTGAACCAGGTCCAAATGAAATTCTCGTCGGGATCTTCGCTGTGGATGAGACGATCCATGGCGCTGGGTATAAAGGTCATGGTGAAGTGTGCTAGAGTCTCTCGCTTGACTTTGGATGCCGTAAGTTCGTCCTTGTACTGGCGGACGTGATAGAGAAACGAGTCGACGTAGTCTAGCAATCCGGGTATTTGTTGTACTTGTCTCCATAGTTCTGGCACTGTATCTCCGAAATGGATCTGCCGATATACAGGCTTACCCCGCACCTGCTCGGTATTCTTGAGAAAGATCCTAAAGACACGAAGGCTGAGGTCCCATTGCTCGTCTAGAACGGTTTGCCGCAATAAGAGGTCAAGTCCCATGTTGAGCATGTCCCAATCCCTTTTGGGGTCCATGCGCTCGAGCAGCTGGATGGCAGGACCGACCAATTTGAGTGTTACGTAGGCCTCGACGGCAAAGCGAAAAGAGGTGGGTCGACGCCATTTAGGGGGTATTTGGTCGAAGAGGTCGACCACCCTACTGGGAGACGGGGGACCATCCTGCGCAAGATACTCTATAAGGTCCTTGGGAAAATGATATTGACTATGCGCGTGGTCTGCTGGAGACATGGCGTTGTACAAGAGCCAGGCGAGCTCTTGTTTCCCGGGTGGACGCTCGTTGAGAATGCGCCGCAGCTCCGCAAAGGGGGTAGACCACTGCAGCATTGACTTCAGTCCAGCCTGTGCCTCTGCCTCTTCTATAGCTGCCTCTTCGTCACTCTTCTCTACCTCTGACAAGGTTTTCGTGGCGGTCGAGTAGTGGCGGCGTCGGGGCTCGAGAGCAGTGGATCCACCGTGGGAAGACCGTCGCTTCAGCCAGACAAGCGTCTGTTCTGGGTACAGAAAGTCTAGCAACAGGCCATTGCTTTGTCGTGTAGGTGGGGGAAGGGTCTTCTTTTTGGGCCGGTCAGCTACACGGCAAGTCGTGGGTGTGGGTGCATGTCGTCGACTCGAAGGAGCAGGCCAGCAGACGGGCGGGCCGAGGTCGCTGGCAGGGTGGTGCCAGTATTGCGAGTGCTGCATGCGTCGAGGGCGAAGACATGGCTTGGGGGCGCAAAGGAGCTGACGTCTGCCAGATTCGAGGCATGTCGAAGCACGCTCGAGCATCACCTGAGCTCCCAGGCGCGCAGAAGGGAGGTGTGGCGATGCTGGCTATCGGGCGGGTTCGAGGACGTGTGACGAAGACGGTGCGCAGACAGAGCGAGGCCGAGAGTGGCGTATTGTATGGAATGGTATGGCGAATGAGTGCAGCATGTATGCTGATGTCAATGTTACAGTGGGCAGTGTGGTTTAGACACAGGCCTTGTATTGTACCATGTGGCAGCGGCGGAAATGGCAGAATGGAACTGTCGACGTCTGGCGAGGGAGCAATGTAGAGAGCCTGGACCTACACCTGCATCAAGAGACGGTCAATTCCCCTGCGGCCCCCGAGAGCGAACGTGATGGGAAAAGGCAAGGTGAAAGGGCAAGAGAGAGGGAGAGGGAGAGGGAGAGGGAAAGAAATTGGGTTATGGCGAATGACAATGACAATGAGACCACGGCAAGCAAAAGACGTCGTCTATGATATGTCGAAAAAGTTTGGACTAGGTAGAACTAGAACTAGAACCAGAACCAGAACTAGGCCCAACCAGACGGAGACGGCAGAGCGAAAGACGCGGGTGGGGGTGAATTGCTTGGCAGAGACAGAGAGACATCTCACCATCCTCCCATTGCCTGCTGCTACCCCTCCAACGACACCAACATATAACACCCCACACAACACCGACAACAGCACCGACAACACGCATTCATTCATTCTGGATATAAGCCAAGGCCAGCTACCCCACACGGGTACCCCTCGCCCTTGCCATCTACCATGGACATCACCAAGTTCATTGTCGACTTCCGCGAGTCCGCTTTTCTCCTCGGCGATTACAGCAGCTACCGTGCGCAATTATCGCGTAGACTGCGCATTGTGCGCAAGAAGCTGGGGAGAGCCACGCCGAAAAACGCAAAATTCGCTGCCAAAGACGGCGTCACAGCGGCCGAGATTGGCGAGAATGTCGAGTATGTCCACCCCATGCTCGCGCGTCGCCCTTTTTTTACGGCTGGAAGTGGTGGTTGTGCAACTCGTGTACACAGTATATAGACATGAGTGAGAATGGCGGTATACTCGAGTATATCGACAAAATCACTCCACCGGCCATGGGCTGATCAGAGCAGGGCCCTCCATCTCCTCCTATTGACGTCGGAGCGTGCATGGGCGCATGCCATGGCTATGAAGGCCTCCCACACGGAAGACCACGCCGACAAGAACATCACCGGCTCCACCCGCCAGCACATTGTCTCGCGTCTGCACAAGGCCGTCCAGACGGCAAGGAACATGTCGGCGCTCGTGGCCGATACGGCAGCCAGTCGTGCATCTGACACTGATGTCCTCGAGGCAAGGGCATATGTCTTCGCCTTGGCCGGCGCTGAGGAATTCGAGAAGCAGGCCGAGGGCGTCAAGACCGGTGCTGCCCTGCCAAAGCGCTGGAACTCATGTCTCACCAACTACTCGGCTGCAAGAGTCATCTACAGCACCTTGCTGAAGACGACCAAGAAGGACCTCTTCAAGGATGTCCTGGCAGCGACAACGGACCCCAGCATCCGCTATGCTGCCTATCAGAGCCGCATCCCCCGCACCGTTGGAGTCCCCTCTGTCGCCATCAAATTCTTCCCCAGAGACGATGAGAGTCTCCTCCAGGCTGTCGAGCAGCTCGATCCAGCAGCATTGCAAGAGGCCGAGGCTGCTACATCTAGTAAGTACTTTTGTTTGATTCGTGGGCCCCTTCTGACAGGATTCCAGACTCCCAAATCAGTTGGCGTGGCCGCACAGCAAACGTTGTCGATGCTGCCATTGGTCAGGCTCTGTCCGCTGTCGATACCGCCTCCACTGGGCTCCAACAGCTTGTCGACTCCAGCGCCACTTCCAAAGACCGGGCCAACGCATATGATGACATTCTCATTGCAAGCCAGGACGCTGTCGATGCCACCCGTAGAGCTATCGAGGAACTGGAAAAGGAAGGCGTAGAGGAAGGCGATACCCGGATGCAGGACCTCCGAGTGACAAGCCTCGCAGTCAACTACAACCTCATCTCGTGGCGCATTGGCCGGAACAGAGTCCTCATCGGCTCCGACGACGGACTGTCATTCCCCGCCAATCCCCCACACAAGCCACGGCGGCCACGCAAGGACGGCAAGGAGTGGACCGAGCGAGAGGAACCTACGGGTCGCAAGCTTGCGAGATTGAGGGAACGTATTGCTCTCTACGATGCAATACTACAGAGCATCGACTCTATCAAGGAACTCCGAGGTGCTGTGCGGGACACCGCCTTCATCGCCGAATTAGATGGCCAGCGCGCATACTTCCAGGCACTCAAGTGCTTAAATCTCTCGCATTCCTATGCCTTTTTGAACACCCCAAAGCAGGCACTGGCGCTATGTAATCGTGCATTATCACTGTCAGCACAAGCCACATCTGCTCCCGGGACCTCTCCTCCATCCGCCTCCTCAGCAACCAAGCTACACGTCTCCACAGAGCAAGCGCAGAATTTACAAAAGCACCTCGAGAACCTCAACTCGCATTACCGCGGCGTAGTCGCGCTCTCCCAACTCATCGCCAGTTCAGCAACCGCCAACAAAACTGGACCCACAAATGCAGCGCCCGTCGTCGAGCGCCTCAACGAGTACCCAGCGTCCGGATCCGTGGAGCTCAAGAACCTTGTCACTTGGCCGCCGAAACTCAAGCCTGTTCCCGTTAAGCCGCTGTTCTTGGACGTAGCTTGGAACTACGTCGAGTATCCTGGTCGTGCCCCTGCTGTACAGAAGCCGGAGCCTGAGCCGGCGGCGGCGGTGGAAGAGCAGAAGGCTGAACGGCCACAGCAAAAGAAGGGCTGGTTCTCGTTTGGAAGGTAGATAGATGAGACGGCTTTTTCTTGTCGGTTGCCGAGGGTTAGCCGCCTTGTGATAGCATAACTCAATAAAAGATCATGACCATCTTTGTGTACACTTTTGCTCGTTTGTGCCTTTTTGCCATGTAGCTCAGGAGATCTTGCACGCTCACTTGCTCCCTCGAAACTTGACGACGAGGCATGATGGATGACACGCGCCCCTTGTTTCCTTGCATAATTTTCTTTGCTGCCATTATTGCGTTCCGGTGTCCTTGGCAGATGCTGTCTCTACGTAAAGATGCTATTATGACTGATATTTATATACTTGATTTACCCTTTTCCATTGCTTCATCAGGGCTTCTTTCCATTTGGCGATATCCTGCCCATTGAACTGTCGTACACGGACGCCGTGTTTTATGGTTCGTCTGAGATTTCCGTCACCTTGGAGTGTATGAAAAGCGTTCTAAATCTGGTTCATTATTTGACCAAACATCTCCCCATCCCACCGAAGTCTCGATGAATCCCTCTGAACATTCGTCCAAACTAGCTCCTCGCACCCCCATACAACAGCCCCTCAACCTCCTCCGCAATCGCCAAACAACTCGTAAGCCCAGGACTTTCAATCGCCAACAGGTTGACAAATCCCGTGTGCCCCTCCTCCGCGCGCACCACAAAATCCTGAAAGTCCTTGCCGCTGGTCGCAGCCAGCCTGCCCAGCTTCGGCCGTATACCCACGTAGTCTGGGAAAATGGCGCTGCCGTCCACGTGGGGGAGGTAGGTCTGTATGTCTTTGATGGCGGCGTCGAGGTTGGCCGTGTTGGGTGTGTAGTCTGTGGGGCTGTCTGTCCATTCTACATCGGGTCCGAAGCGGATCCGCCCGCTCAAGTCGAGGGTGAGGTGGGTGCCTAGGCCGCCGTGGCCGGGAATGGGGGCAGGGTAGATGAGGGTTTTGGGACGGGGGTGGCTGGCAGCGTAGGAGAAGTAGGAGCCTTTTGCGTAGAAGGGAGTTAGCTGTCTGTCTTGGGGGAGGATCATGTTGGATATGGCGACTGCGAATAGGCCTGCGCCGTTGATGAGGGTGGAGGAGCTGATGGTGCTGATTGCACCATCGGGAGACTGTGTGGTGATTTCCCATCCATCCTCGCCGGAGGTTATCGGTCTGATGGAAGTGACGGGGGAGTGGAAGGCGCAGAGTCCGCCGTGGAACTCGAAATCGCCTTCGAGATACTGCATGAGGCTATGTGAGTCCACGATTCCTGTAGATGGACTTTCAAGAACCCCGGCGGCGGCGCGGACATCTGGTTCTCGACGCTTGGCTTCTTCCTTGGAGAGGAAACGCGTGGGCACGCCGATGGTGGAGGCGAAGCTGTGGATCTTTTGGAGCGCTTCCATCTGTGTTTCGTCTTGGGCGACGATCCATTTGCCTGTGTTGCGGTGCGGTATGTCATATTTCCGGCAGAGCTCGTACATGAGCTCTTTGCCACGCAAACAGAGACGCGTTTTCAGGGAGTCAGGGCCGTAGTAGAGTCCCGCATGTATGACCTGAGAAGCCCATTAATCTACAAAGGCTCGATAGAGATACAAGATCAAACATATATTCAAGATACAGTCTGCGTAGAAACTGCAACTACAGAATGAGACAGTACAGTTCTTACCTCACTATTTCGCGAACTCGTTTCCGTTCCTACAGCGCCATGTTTTTCTATCAAGACGGTCGATGTGCCGTCTCGTGCCTGAAGCTTCCGTGCAATGGCTAGACCTACAACACCACCACCAATCACTGCATGTGTGAAATCCACTTGAAGTCTTGAACTCGTGGAAAATTGTCTTTGGATTTGCGCTCGCCGTGTGAGTTGTGAGATGCGGCGTGATAACATCATGTTACGTTCTCCCAACGATTAGAACTGAGCAACGCAAAGCAAGGCAGATGTGGAGAGCGCATGCAATTGTTCGAGATGGGCAGCGCGTTGACTTGTCAAAGGAATAAAACAGGGTGAAAAATCACCGCTGCGCACACGGGCAATGATGCAGTCGTCGATGAGTTGCTTATTGCTAGTGCTCTGGTGACGTTGAAGTTGGCGTAGCTTACACCGACCGCTAACCGAACCATGTCAACATGCATGTTTCCATGAATGGCAATTTAGATCTTGCCATGCCGGTGCCTGTGCCTTGCAGTCAGGACCATCTATAAAACCACTCGTAGTCAAAGAAAACCCATACTCTAGACCGAGCTCGACAGCCAGCCATCCCATCATATCATTGAGGTCCCGCGTACCGGTATCACGTCATCAGCAATTGCCAAACCCTATCCACCAACTCACGTTACCTGAACATTGCAGACCGTCCATGTCCACCACACTGTACCGGTAACGAAACCCCATATCAAACAAAACCTCCCTCACAGCCCCACGGATTCTTTCCACTACTCCCCTTCTTCCCCCACCCCCCAAAAAAACAAACAGCCCCAATTCCCCATCCACCCTCACATCCAAAGCCACCATGCCCCCCTCAACCCCCAAAATCACCTCCCTCACCGACCTCCCCTCCAGCTCCGCAAACTGGATAAAACTCCAACGCGCAACCTACACCGACGCCCACGGCACCCCGCGCGTCTGGGAACTCGCCAGCCGCAAGACAACCCCCAAATCCGGCGTCGACGCCGTCGCAATGGGAAACATCATCTACCACCCCTCCAAGCCGCCCTCGACCATCCTGGTCCTGCAGTTCCGGCCCCCGGTCCAAGCCATGACCGTGGAATGGCCCGCCGGCCTCATCGACGCCGATGAATCTGCAGAGCATGCCGCGGTCCGCGAGTTGTATGAGGAGACGGGGTATAGGGGCACGGTGGTGAGTACGTCGCCGGCGGTGGCGGCGGATCCCGGTATGACGAGTGCGAATATGAAGTTGTGTATGATGGAGGTGCATCTTCGGGAAGATGAACCAGAGCCGGAACAGCATCTTGATGACGGCGAGGATATTCAGAGGGTTACTGTGCCGTTGGCGGAGCTGTATGAGCGGCTGCAGGAGTTTGCGAGGGAGGGCTATGTGGTTGCGGCCAAGTTGTATCATTGGGCGGCGGGAGTGCAGTATGCAATCGATCATCCGGAACTGTTTAAGAAGTTGGAGAAACCGGGGGCTGGGGCTTAGTATGTTAAGAAGAAGGTGGGATTCCTTAGCACCAAGTGACGTGAATGAGTGCTTGATGCGACGAGCTCTTGGGATGTTATTTTCGTTGTATCGCCCGAACCGGAGTGGTTTCAAAAGGTCGTGCAGCGATTTATGGCAACTCAGGATTTGTAATCTACGTCAGAAACAATAGAGAAGCAGTGAACTCGACTCATCTACGGACAACTATCTAAGCATTATCGACATCACTTTTACTCCTTCCCACGCCCCCTTTCCTCTCTGCCCCCCTCCCCTTCCCTCCCCTTCCGTTTCCCAGGTAACCAATGTAAAACGCCAAACTATGCTATGACACCTAGTCCCATATATTGAAATCATACAACAACCCTCACATCTCTGCTCACGTCCCTGACCCTTACCTGCCCAGATCCTTACACATCACACTCATACGATATCAAGCAGTCCCTTGAGCTGCATAATCAACTTCCACTCATCTTGGCTCACGTCGCTTCTGAAGAACTCCTTCAGAGTGTCAATACTCTTCCTGCTAATCGCCGAGTAGAGAATGTCGTCTTCTTCTAGATGGCGCCCGTACATGGGTTGATTGGCGCCTTCAATCTTGACAGCAACGGATGGGGAGCCCTTCTTGCAGACTTGTATTTGCTTGTGGTCGCGCTCAATCGATGTGCTGTCATCAGAGTTAGTGGGTGCAAGAGGAAGTCAAATTATGGGCAAAGCGGAAGTGGGGACATACACTCTACCGAGTTGGATAATCTCCTTGACACCAGTTGCAGGATTCTTCTTTACAGCGCAAATCGGCGTTGTGATTTTCAGGTTGCCATCTGTAACATCGACACCGATGACAATGGGGTCTTTCTTGTTGAACACAGCGACAGGGCGGAGTACACAGGGGAAGACGGCCAACATCTTTGACTCTTCTTTCCGCTGTTCCTCAAGTTGCTTCATGTGCGCAGTGAACTTGTCAAACAAGTGGTAGATGATGTCCGCTTCAAAAATCTTCACTCCGATTTCCTCGGCATAGGCTTTGGCGTCCTTGTCGACCTTGACATCGAAACACAGCATGACTGCGTATTCCTTGGCCTTTTCTAACATGACACCGGCACGTAGAACATCCTTCTTGAATACGGGACCAATGGAAATGGTGGCTACGGGAATCTTGGAAACCCGCAGGAACTCAAGCAAAGCTTCAAGCGAACCGAGTGTTGATGCTTGAACGGACACACCACGACCAGTCTTGGAAACTTTACTGAGCAAATGGGCCAAGTCTCCCATGACCTCGTCCATGAGATCCTCTTCGTCATCGTTGGGTCCGACAACGAGAAGTCGTGATCCAGCGATTGCTTGATCGAGACCATCGGCGGCAATCTTTATACCCATGGCAGCCTTGACTTCTTTGTTGTGTACATATTGTGATTTGACACGGAGTTCCTTCATCTCGGCTGGTGTCAGAAGTGCTCGGATGTTCGTTACGATTGGTTCTGGGTTACCACATAGCACTATGCGGTCGCCTTCGTGAAGGACACCATTGGACAAGATGACATCAATGGTCGTACCGAGACCCTCAATAACCTTGACTTCGAGCACCGTGCACTCAACCTCGGACAGATACATAAGGTTGTTGGTGAGACGTTCTTGTGTAAGCCTGACAATGAGCTTGATCATATCTGGGATACCTTCTCCAGTGTGTGCGGAGGTTGGGCAAACAGAGACGTATTTGGCCATGTTCTTGTTCTTGAAGAAGAGCTCAGAGTTGAACCCCTGTTCCTGAAGCTGGGTGCGTACAAACGTCCAGCGCTCCTCAAACTCCGATTGCACGGCCTGCTTCTGAAGGTTGAAACTGTCTTCAAAGCCGTTGTTATCTATCTTCTTCCAGCCAAAGAGACGATCAATCTTGTTTAGAGCGACAATGAAAGGCGTCTTCCTGTCGCGCAGCAACTTCATCGATTCAATGGTTTGAGGCTCAAGACCGTGCATGATATCGATGACAAGAATGGCAATGTTGCAAAGCGATGAGCCGCGGGAACGGAGGTTGGTGAACGACTCGTGACCAGGTGTATCGATGACTAGAAGACCGGGGACGTTGAAGACGAATGACTTGTCCTTGTTGACAACGGCAACCTTCTTCTCCAGAGCCTCTACAGGGAAGTAAGTGGCACCAATCTGTTGAGTGATGCCTCCTGCTTCGCCTTCTTGCACGTTGGTCTGACGAATCTTGTCGAGCAGCTTCGTTTTACCAGTATCGACGTGACCGAGAATACAGCAGATGGGTGATCGCAGATTGTCCTTGGATCGTGCTGCCAGAGCCTCTTCATGCGCCTGCTTTCTTCGCTCGGCGGCAGCGGCTTTTCGTGCAGCCTCGGCTCGCTGCGTGGCAGTACCCTGCTCATCTTCCGAGGAGTCGTCCTCGCTGTCTTCTTCAGAATCAGAATCAGAATCAAAATCAGACTTCGCTTTGGTGTCCTTGAATTGTGGTTCCTTCTCGGCTGCTGCCTTCTCGGCTGCCATTTTCTCTTCCTTGGCCTTCTTCGCCGTGGCTTTGCGCTCCTCCTCTTCGTCTGTGTCAATATCCCAGCTGTCTTTAACGCCATCAAGCTCATCGGCTTCGGCCTCCCAGTCTTCCGCAGCGTCGTCATCATCGCCCTTCTTCGTTTCAGCGTCAAGACGAGCCTTCTCGGCGGCAGCGGCAGCGGCAGCGGCTTGCTCCTCAGCCAACTTGAGCTCCGCTAGTTTCTTTGCTGCTTCTTCCGCTTCACGGGCTTCTTTCTCCTTCTGGGTCTCGATCTGCTTTTTCCTCTTCTTACGATCGTCATAGATGGGCTTCTTCTTCACCTCGGGCTCTTCCAGACCTGCAACCTTTGCTTCTCCAACCTCAAGCATTTGCTTCAGACGGAGCTCGTTCTTTGCCTTTGCCTCTTTCTGAGCCTTGGTCATGTACTTGCCCTCTTTCTTGAGTTGCTCAATCTTCTCCTTCTCCTTTTGCTTCTTGAGCGCCTTTGCTTCTTCCTTACGCTTCTGCTCTTCTGCATCTTGCCTCTCCAGCTCTTCTAGCCTGGCCCTCTCCTCTGCTTCTATACGCGCAATCTCTTCTTCTCTACGCCTGCGCTCCTCCTGTTGTTTCTGGAGCAAAGCCAGGGCAGGGCTGAGCTTCTTCTTTTTGCCGCCAGGCGCAGCGGTCTCGGCGGTCGTGGTGGGGGCAGAGGGTGTAGCAGCAGGAGCAGCTTTGGTTTCGGCGGCCTTTGCAGGCTCAGCTTTGGCAGGGCCAGCAGCCTTCTTCTTTGCAGCCTGCCAATAGTATTAATGACCGTCGCATATGAAGGCCTCTGTCAGGCTCCCTATCAACTCACCAGCTCCTTCTTTCTTTGCTTTTCCTTCTCCTTCTTCTCCTTTTCCTTCTCCGCCTTGGTCTTCACTCGTGGCGTTCCATCAGCATTATTGTCCTTGTCCACAGGCTCCTCGGCCTTTGCGGTAGCAGGCGCGCCACCCTTCTTTTTCTTTCCATAATTCCCAGCAAAGACGTCATCATCGTCTTCATCTAGAGTGCCCTCTTGAGGCGCCTTGCTCGCAAGATCAACCTCGCCGTTGGCGCCACCGTCTGTTGGGTCTTCACCCTCAACATCGGGATTCGCGCCCTTCTTGTTCTTCTTCTTGCCGCGCCGCTGAAGCGCAGCCATCAGACCGCCACCAAGGGCATCGTCTTCAGGTAGTGCGTCTTCTTTTTCGACAGCAAGGCTCTCTGTCTGGGGCGCAACGGACTCGCCCAGCTCGGCCTCCCAGTCGTCATCTTGGGCCTTCTTATTACCCTTCTTCTTTGGCGCCATAGTGTATAGAACCCGTAGCTAGGTGTCCTGGATATCAAAGTCGCGTGTTGAGGTCGGTCGTGATGGCGGGATGGATGAGATTTGGAACGATTGTGCTCTGCACCTCGCAACGTCGCAATCGAATTCGTGGTAAACCGGCCAGGGCACAAAAACGCACCGGTGAGTCAGAACTGAGCCAATCAAGGCCTGGACTGTGAATGAAGGACGGAAATGAAGGGGCGTATGGCAAACGCACAATTGTGGTTGAAATTTGGGCAGTGGCAAGCCACAGGACCAAATGTTATGTGGTCGTGGTGGGGTACTAATTGCCCAATCCGGTAAGTCTAGAAAACCGTCTAACACTGCAAACTGCAGAGCCTAATCTGGGGGAGGAAGATGGGGTCCTCTGCGCTGTGCACTGTGCTCTCTCATGCTCCGACCCCAAACGCCAACGCGTATTGCGCATTGCGCATGATGTGCGTATATTTCGAGAAGCTCTTCTCCCTTGCATCACTTCATCTGATAGCTTAGTCTGATCATACCACACACGCCTTCATTCAAAAGAAGCATACCTAGGAGCATGTCATCGTGTAGTCTTTGGGCCTCATTCTGACGATCACACATCGTTTTCAGCAAGAACATTTTGCTTGCCTGTGTCGACCGACAACAGTGGGAATCTGCTATGTTGAGAGGAATAATAATAGTACGACTCAAAGTTGCCCCCTTTCGTCTGTCATGGAACAGCACGCACGTCAAAGCCAAATCAAGTAATCAATGGTATTTGTGATATTATGCAATTCAATTGATATCTTCTCTCAAATTCTACATCTCGAGTGTACCATGCCCACCTTCTTTTCCAGCCCAATGCTACTCGAAATGACGGTAAATAAACTGCAATGCGATGAACGCGACATGCGGATTTGCTTGGAAGCAAAGGTACATTAAACTGTAGATGAACGCCCCCACGAACGCAGAACTCCATGAAACGACGACAAGATGCAATGATTAGAGGTAAGAGAATAATAATAGTCGAGACATGCCATCTCGAATAGCGATACAGGGGCGTACATGACAACGGGTAATCAAGCGACATGTAGTGTCATGAGACATCCAGGCATTGCTGCGCGAATTTAGAAGCAAAAGAGGTCTAATGCAATTGCCCGCTGACGAGTAACGACTCGACCGTGGCACCAATGAAGGACTTCTTGAGCGATAGATCGCATCCAAATCTGCAGCAATGATTAGTATCTCACTCCACATGGTAGTACACTGCCATGGAACGTACCTTTGTTCTAACTCGAGCTTGACATGTTTCTTCGTGACCTGCATCAAATCCGACTTTGACAGAATGTCCTTGATCTCAAGGTAGATGGCATCATCGCTGGGCAGATTTGTCATCTCCATACTATCCATACCATATCCACTCTGCGCAAGGCTGAGGCGAGAGTGATTGTTGTAACGCGGGAGGTCGAGGTGGGACATGGGGCGAGAAGGTGGCATACCGCCGTACTCTGATCCGGCCACACTTCCAAACGGCTTCTTGGTCGCATAGGTGTAGCCCGACATGACGGATTGATCGTCACGAGTGGTGTGTTGCTCCCACATTTCAGCCTGGTACTCCTCCCACCTCTTCTTCGGAATACTAGCAGGGTCGAACTTTCCTTCATCAGACACAATCACCTTCTGACCCTTTTCACCTGTGACGACACGAGTATTACCCCAGGAAAAGTCGTCCATGAACCAGAAGGAATACAAGGGCAGAGCAAAGGCGAAGATGGGCGTGGCAAGCATGTAGATGATCATCCAACCAATCATCTCCCACTTGCGACGTACGATGAAGATAATCATCTGAAGACCATAAATAGCTCCAAGCAAAATAAACGCCGTAACTGGAATCAAGTTTGGTTGCGCAATAATGGTGTAGATGAGATATCCGAGGTAGACGACAATGACGGGTTGAATGATTGTGGAAACCAAGTCCATGAACACAATGAAGCGCATACTGAAGCAGCAGAAACCACACAGCTGTTGCAGCGGAATCAGCTCAATGAGATTGTGCACCGTTGAGTTGATCCAGCGGCGACGTTGGGACATGAAGATAGCCCAACTGTCAGGTGCCACGGTCCAGGCATGCGCGCGCATGGTGTACTTGGTCTTGTACTTCGAGTGGAACTTGAGGAGCAGAGTTGTCAAATAACGATCCTCACCAAGATGCAGCAAGTTCTTTGTGTGTAGAGTATCGACACGAATCTCCTGATAGGCTTCGACTACCTCTTTGCTCACGAAGAGAGGCTTTCCAGTTTCGGCCGCACGAATACGGTACATGGTGAAACAACCAGGAAGACAGGTAACGGAACCAAAGAGACTTTCAAAGGCCTTGGTCAGGTTGTGTGAGATGTAGTATTCGTAAACCTGCATCATAGTGACGAAAGATGACTTGGCGTTTGTGAGTGCTGTTTCACCACAGATGGCAATGAGTCGAGTATCGTGGAGAAAGGCAGCTACAAACCGGGTGCCAGCATCGGGTGCAACAACGGTATCGGCATCAATCTGTAGCAGAAATTCGTAGAACGTGGGGTTGACGCCGATAATGTTGCGGATCTGGTGATGCATCTCAAGCTCGAGCGGACTCATCGGGAGATTGTAATGAACGCGATTCAAGAACCTCATAAGAATGATTTGCGAGTCACGCTTGCCACGATTACCAGGCTTGGAGACTTCTGAGGGCTTTCCAACTTTGACCACGACCAAGAACGGCACGATGTGACCCTGGACTTCGTAAAGACCACTGTAGCATTTTCCCATGTTGTGCTGACGTTGACCGTCTCCAAGACTTTCAAAGCTCAATGGATCCGGGTCAGTGGATTCTGGAACACCAAGAATGTCGAGTACGATACGAGGAGTTGGCTTGTCATTTCCCTGACCGATAATCATACCATCGCAGACAATGACAAGAAGTTTGCGCTTATCATCATACTTCATCCTCGCAGCAGAATCCATGGCACGGCGGAGAGACTCCTCATCCTCCGTGTAAGCAGGAATCGTGCAGATAATGAACTTGTCAATGTTCTCTGGGTCCGTCTTCCTGGAAAATTGAAGGGCTGCGAGAAATTTGAAACCGATGACGGATACGATAAGAATGGAAATAGCCAGGAGGAAGTATTTGGCGAACAAACACTTGGATGAGTTTCTGGTGTCCACATCGCCGACGTAGAATAAATTGTCGAGACATTGCAACATGTTGTTCTTCATATCGGCTGACAGTTTGAGGTTCTCCCAGTATTTGCCAAGATCTTTGCCTGCTTGGTATTGAAAGATTGAAATGACTTGCTCGTGCATAAAGTTGACGTTTGGTTGTTCTGCAGGCCTTTCTTCGCCAACCTTGTATATTGTCTGTCGACCACCGGTAACGTAATCGGTCATGTCGTATACTTTGCCGTTGAGATAAGCAATGGAGTTACTCTTGCCGGCCAAAGTCTTCAGATATTCTGGGCTGTATCCTACACGTCCTTTCATATAGTTGGCCTTCAGGAACAGCTGCTGCTCGAACCACCAATCTTTACGCGAATCGTTGGTGAAGGCACGGAAGTCATGGTATTGAGCGTTGGGGTCGGTAGAACTGATGAGGTTGTTGACGGCAGAATCCGTGTAGTTGGTGCTCTTGTAATTCAACTGAACTGCAGGATCAATCGAACCGTCGACACCGCGGCACAGAGCAGAGACTTGTACAGGAAAGAGGTTGGTTGCATCCTTGCCAGCATACTTGAGCAGGCTCCTTTGTGGTACGACATTGGGGTAGTGGAAGGGAATGAAATCGCCAAGATCGTAAACAATGCCACGAATAGCGACATATGCATCATTACCGTCCTTGCCGTCGTACGCGGTCAGTTCTGCAGCAGAGTAAACGTGTTGGGTCGGGCAGATGAGCATGGGAAACCCAATCATGAAGAAGACGACGGAGGCACAGCTCAACCAGATGAGCATGTTGATGGCCAGCTTCTCTCGCCATGCCATCCTTACGTCCTTGCGCTTTATGCGTCCAAGGACTCTGATGGCGAAGTCGGGGATGAACCATGTCATGCAATACACAATGAAAACCCATCTCTTTCGGGCGCCAGTGGTAGGAAGGACATCGACCTCTTCCAAATTCTTGTCTGCCGCCTTCTCGTCGAGGATCTTTGGTTGCTCCAAACCCTGGAACATGTCGCCATTCGTGATACCTGATGGTGCCTCGGAGCGAGCGTCAATGTCTCGAGCGCCAAAGTAGTTGCCACTCTTGTCGTCGTAGTAAGCACCGGGAGACGGCGAAAGCAGACCAGCTCTGACGTCTCCAAAGGAACGCCCAGCGTCAGGAGTGAGGAGATTGTCCTCCGAGCCACCCACGCCACGAGTGTAAGGAGCAACACTGTCAATATTGGCAAGCTCAAGCCAGCATTTTTCGCTGAGGAAGACGCCCGTCGCACCAACGCGAACTTCGTTCTCGCGCCAAGGCTTACTGTCAAGTACCATCTCAGCCTTCTCTTTGTCGCTGCCAACGATGGCGAGGTCGGTCTGAGCAAGGCCCAAAAACTCGGCAAACGGCAAAAAGATGGTATAATCCGCTACACGGAGCCGTTGGCTGATCTCGGCTATGCCCAGAGCCTGTACTTGTTGACGAACACATTTGCTATCGAACTGGTTCGCGATTCGTCGATCATTTGGCTTGAGACAAAAGACAAAGTATGGATTGGCTTTACGCAGACACGACTCGATGGTCCGCAGCGCGCTGACGAATTGACCCGCTGCACCAGTCTGCTTGTTGTCATTGTTCTTCCGGGACCCTGAAACGTTGCTTTCTGCATCGCTGACGCCGTCCTCATCAAACACGTTGATTTGGCGACCATATCTGCCTGTCTTGTCGGCTTTGCGCCGAGCCATGCTCGGCATACGCGAAGGCTTCGAGCTGACGGTAGCCTGTACGATTGCAGTCTTCTCCTTAGGATGAGACATCTTGTGGACGGCATCCTGCCCGAACAGCTGTTGGACGAAGGGCGCCTCTGCCGACTTCAATAGATGCATCATGTCACCCGAGATGAGCTCGGCATTCTCTTCAAGAAGTCCCTCCACGCTGTAATCAACATCTCCAGCAAAGTGGCGAATGGTGAATGTAGGCGAAGTGTTGGGTGTAGGAAAGTTGCTGCCGGGCTGCACAATGGTGGTACTACCAGGCAAAATAGCAGCATTCTTGCCATCGAAACGCTTTCGAATGGCGTCGAGAAATTGCATATCTGATTTACCGCGTCGCATCTGATCGTCTAGGATACTCAGAAGACCATTACCGGTTTTGAGAAGACCAGTCTTGGCTTCCGTGTTATCGTAGAAGGCCATGGGAGGAAGGCTGATGTCTTCTGCCTCGAGTTCCTGCATCTGGCGCTGGAAGAAGCTCTCTTGACAGAAAGTGATCAAGGACTCGTTCGCTGCGTTGTTGAGAAGTTGATCGAGAGCAGAGCCGGTGGAGGCAGAATTGGCAAAACCAGGGAAGTCCACCATGGAGATTGTGTTTGTGATTTGGTCTTGTAGGACAGAGATCCTCGAGTTCATCTGCTCCATAACCCAGGTGACCAAGAGTGAGTAGAGGGAACGAGCCAGCTCATCAGCGTTTGCCCGAGCGCCCTTGGGGTCTAACATGACTGTGACGCGTTCTCGGTACAGTGTCTTGGACTTGTACCGTAGACTTTGCTCGAGATCGGATATAGCCACTCCAAGGAATTGAGCAATGGGTGTCAAACACTCCTTGTTCTTGACCATGGTGATGGACTCGCCTCCTTCGTGGGAATAGCCGCCGCTGTCGTCAGCCGTTGGCGTGGTGGACTGACCCGTTTCGAACTCAAGCTGGCCAATGTGTAGAATGGTGGCCATGATTTCACATATTCCCGCAATGCTCTCCTTGCCAAACTCCAGGCGACGCAGCGCACTCTTGAAATCTTGAAAGCCCTTGGCATCGTCAATGCCGACCTTGAGTTGTGTGGGATGTCCCAGGTACCGCCATCGCTTGTTAGAGCCGATCGAGGTGCGGTTACCCGCAGACCCGTCTCCGCCCACGGCATCAAGGTAGAGATGCTTCTTCTCGGCTAGGCTCGTACCCGCAAGAAGGTAGTAGAGCACGTGGTATGTGCGCTCCCCGGTCGGCACCGAGGCAATGCGGCTGCGTTCAAGGCGATGTGCAATGAATTGGGCACCGAGCAGAGTGGCGTGGCTGGCCGTAGCCGTATTGTATTGGAGTTCTAGCAGAAGTCCAGACTTGGAAGCGACGGGCGTGGTGAGGGACTTTGTAGTTGTGAAGGCGTCGAAGACGAAGTTGGCATTCTCCACCTTCTTCGAGAGGGGCGTCGAAGAGTACGAGAGGAAGGATCTCAGCATGTGTCCTCGGATGGTTGTCTTTCCTGAACCGGATTCACCACTGGATCTTGTTAGCATGTAGCCCTCCCATGTTTCAGATGGAATTCACATACAGAAACACGATAGCCTGGTCTTCGGAGCGATGGCCCAAGCGCATATAGGAGCGTTGGGCGAGGTCCTCGGCAGCCTGGTGTGCGCTGCCTTCTTTACCGCCATCGACACCCCGACTGGCATCTGTATAGGTGTTGACGGCGACGATGCCCTGTGAGGAGAGTGTGGCAATGGGCAGGTGTGCATGGTATCGGCTGGCCAGGGCGGAGGTCAGGCCTGTATCGCTTTGCTGATGCTGAGGCAGGGCGGGCAGCGACGAATTCTGGAGCGGATTCGAGGCCATGGTGGGCAAGACGCGTCCCCGTGGGAGCGTTATGCAGTGGCAGCTGTCAGGCTAGGGCTGCCCGAATGAAAAAAAAAAGTGTCGGCTGGGCTTGTCCGGTCGATTGAGTTGGGGGTTCGGTCGGGTGTCTCGCAAGAGGAGAAAAAGGCTGCGGGTGCTGTGGCAGGCGTGTCCGCTGGAATGCAAACAAGACGTGGGTCGAGGGGGACCAGGCTGAGCGAACGGGAGCCTCGAGACGAAGGAAGAATGAGAATCGGCAACGAAAGTATGTCAAAGTGTCGACCAAACGAAGGTGAGATGGTGTTGAGCGCCGTTGGCCGGTGGTCGTCCCCAGGGGCCGAATCAACTCGTACTATTAGCAGGCGACGCTACAGAATGGCTAGCATGCGTCTGGCCGCCACCACCCACCCACCACTTGACACCCGAGAGGTCTGTGTTGACCTGGAGACCTCCTAACCAGCCGGCAAAAATAGATTTGTTACAATACAGGGAAACACTGAAGCTCACTACTGCTGGTCGGATCGTGCCCCACCGATCCACCACGCTTGCGTACCAACTATGTCCCGTACTACACAGCAGAGTTCTTTCATGCGACAACGCCGCCGACGACGATGAGCTGCGAGCAGACGCACTGCAGTGCGCACAGAGAAAGATGCACCTGCTCAGCATCACGTCCCGTTACTGTGCACTTGGAATGGCGCACAGCATATACCTGGAGAAGAGAAGAAACTGTACAGCAGGGGGTCGCTGATGCACAATGGGGTCCCAGGCGGCCTGACAATGACACACCCGTGTTGGATCACGTGCTGCTATGATGCCTTGGTTGTTCTTTGCAGGTGAGGGTAGTACATGGTAGTAGGTGGTAGTCTATTACGTGTTATGGAGGCAAAAAACAAAGACACTGGGCTGGGCGCAGTGCAAATCCTATTGACAATGTCTGCATGACAAACCGACATGAATGCCCAGAGTACAGCAATATTGCACAATACTACACTAGGACCGTAGCTTTTCGGACGGCGGAGACGGGTGGAAACAGCATGGTCTAGGTAGAATATCTAGCGTGTGTGTATGGTCGGTCCATGGTCCATGGTCCATGGCTGGCCATCCGCGTTGGGAACACGAGCAGCATGGGGCATTGGGAGGGGCACCCCCTATTTTCAATCTCGACAAAGCCTGACTGGGGGCGGCGAAACATGGCCTCCGCCGCGCGCAAAGGCAATTTAGGAGCGAATTGCAGGAGAGCCATGGGCTTTCTTGTTGTTGAAGAGGACAGGCCTGCATTCGACGGGGGAGTGGCCGGTACGATGCTGGCATTTGTTCCGCCCGCAGGCTATCATCATCGTCATCATCATGAGATGGGCGTTGAGGGGGGGAGGGGTGGCAACGCGAGCGAGCCGTCTTCCATGCCCATCCTGCATCACGATTTCTTGCCGGGCTGGTATCGATACAATAGATGGTGAAAGAATATTCCGCCCAGCGAGTGCATGTCAAGATCTGTGGCAAGCGTCTCAGCCTGCACATGGCTTAAAATAGGGGAGAGAGGCGGCACACGCCACTGCGACGGTATGAACATACTAGATACTAGGTAGGTTATGTCTTGTGTACGGTATGTACTCCTAGGGAACCATGCATAGTACGTACATGATATATACTCCTACCGACATGCCACATCCTTAGCATGTGCAGGCAGTGCAGGCAGTGCAGGCAGTGCAGTATGTATTTTCTACATAGCCAGTCAACAGCAACTGGACGTTGGGTAGGGGCCCTTGTCTGGCGGACAATCGATGAACATACCGGGAATTGGCGTGCAGCGAAACCTCCCTAACGTTACAGCGCCCTACCCTCCAAAGGCTACCTTACTACCTCTCCCCCCCCCCCCCGGGGCATAGCGCCGATGGAATGCACTTCGCCCTGAGTCCTCGTTCTCAAACATCATCCGTTCCTCAGCCTGCTTCGAGTTTGCAGGAGTCTTTTGCGTCGTGTGTGTAGTTTCCTTTTCATACAGTCGTTTGATAATTCACCTTTCACCTTCGCTTGGCCCAACCTGACCTGCTCTTGCTGTGAAAGGCGCCTCCCGCCTCCTACACCCCGGCCCTCCACCCTCCACCAGTAATCGCCCGCCGACGGGTGGTGTCAGACAGCAAACGCGCATTCCGCACGCTTCACGCCTCTTTGGCCCATCACACATTCGCTGTCGAGCATCGATCCTCCTCCACCCATCTACCCAAGGGGCGACCCGCCTCTGCCCGCAACCATGAGTTTTGTCAACAACTCACGCATGTCCGTCTACTCGACTGCCTCCACATCAGCACCGCGTCCTGGCAATCCGCCTTCCCAGACATCGACCACTACCCTGCTCAACACCCTCAACTCGGCCTACAAGCATGGCCAGGCCTACAACCTCGAGGCCAGCACCAGTCTCGTTGTCAACACCTGGGTCAACTCCAAGACCATTGTCAATGATCGCATCGGCGGAACCGTCGATCTCGAGTTGGGACGAAAGGCTTGGGAGCACGCCCGCCGACGAGCCGAGGACGGCTGCATAGTTTTGGCGTAAGTGCTACGTGATGCCATTCTCCCATAATACACTATATCTCTCTTCTCTCTCTTTTCCTCTCGCCCCTACTAACTGACATGCCAGGTCACTCCACGAATCGAGTCCCTCGCTCTTCTCCCCCTTCGTTTCCAGCTTGCCTCTCTCGCTCCCTGGCAACTTTTACACGGCTCTAGAGGCCCTCAAAGCCTTTACTACCTGTGTCACACCCCAAAACCCATACACACCGCGCTATTCTGCCCTCGCAGCTGTCTTCACAGTCAACTTGCTGGGCAATGTCGTCGGAGCCGAGATCAAGCTCTCCACCTCGGGACTGGATGTCCAACAAGGACTCTTGAATATCCCTGCACACACCGGTTTCCGCGCCTTCGACGTCTTCTACTACCTCAACTCCAGCTCTGCGTCTAGGCAGGAGAAGTCATTTCTCAACATTGAGTCTCTGGACAATTACGCCCTGCTCAATCGATCCGGTACCTACGAGCCACCATCGTTTCTTCCCGATGCCGACGATGCTGCCGCAGCGGAGGACTTTCGCGCCAACCTCAAAGCAATCGGCATCAAGGGCGAGAAATTGATGAACCTGGTTAGTTGTCTCACCGGCCTACTCAAGCTTGGTAACACCATTGGCTACTTTGTCGATGAAGAGACACTCGACTCGGTGTGTGAGGAAGTAAGCACGCTCCTTGACATGCCTGCGGATCTTCTCCGCCAAAAGCTTGGAACGAACGAGCGCGAAATTGCCATTGGCGGCATCTACGAGGCCATTGTCGACTATGTGCTGGCCCACGCAAACGCCGCAATCAAAGAGGAAATCACTGCTGCCAAACGAGGCTTCTCTTCAGCCAATAGTGATGGCAGTGGCGCCATGACACCCGTGGACTCGGACGATGGAGACATTGTGAACATCACCGTTGTTGAAATTCCAAGTCGTGCGCTCGGCAAGGCGATTGCCCTCCGAACCGTTTTCGATGACAGCGAAGGCATCAATGCTGAGATGCGGGACGACGGTGTGCCAGTGCCTTCAGCCGGCAACTCGGTTCTCGAGACTATGCGTGAAGCTTTACTCAACTGCGCGCCAGAGCTCGGCATCAGTGGACCCGGTCACACCGCAAAGGAGGCCGATCTTGAGAAGCGTGAAGCTGTGCTTGACAAGATTGCTCTCGAGACCCCTGAGGAGGACCATTTTTTGCGACAGGTGCTATACCCAGTTCAAAACAATGGTATTCTGTTGGGAAAACACGGCCGCTTCGATCTCGCTATGACGGTAGCTAGTAGCCGTGTCTGGTTTCAGCTCGCTCTCCACCCCACTGATTCCATCCCCACCTCGATCAATCAAGATCTCAACTCCACCTGGCAAGCCGGCGTGGTTTCTCGGCAACTGCGAGAATGGCGCCTGCCTGAATGGGCAAACCGTCGGAACCGCTGTCTCGACTTCACAGCGGACTTTGATCATCATGAATTCTTCGAGCGATATCAAGCATTGGGATGCATGGATGGCAAAGAAGGCATCCAGAACTGGATTCTTCAACGTGGCTGGAGTAACGGAGAAGTGGTCGTCGGCCACGAGCGAGTTTGGGTGCGAGAAGGTACCTGGTGGGAGGCAGAGTCACAGCTCGACCTCAAGCAAGGTGACATGGGCGCCTCCCCCAGCATGTTAGGCCAGATGATTGGAGCGGGCGGTATGGAGAGTGGCTATCCTGTTCAAAATCCTACTGCCAGCGCTTTCTTTCCCCCCCTACCAGAGATGAGGAGCGCAACACCAAGCCAGAACCCATTCCAAAGCTCGGCCAGCTTGGCTGCACGAAGTGCCATGGACGCCAAATCGATGGCGCCCACCACGATGACCGCCCCTGTTGCACAGGGACCCGGTGACTACGGATTGGGCGCTAAAGGTGATGAGAACAAGGGGGTTACTTACTACGATACCGAATCTGGTGGCAATGCTGTTGTGACCGAGTCGCCCATCAACGCGAGCCGCAAGATGTGGGTTGGTTTTGTTTGGGCCGTAACCTTCTGGATCCCCTCACCACTATTGAAATGGGTCGGCCGCATGAAGCGACCTGATGTCCGCATGGCATGGCGAGAGAAGTTCGTCCTTGTTCTCCTCATACTACTTCTCAATGGCGCTATCGTATTCTACATCGTCGCATTCGGTAAATTGCTATGTCCTAACAAGGACAAGGTCTGGAGTCGCAAGGAAGTATCTCAACATCAAGGTGAAAACGACTATTACGTCAGTCACCATGGTAGTGTGTACGACTTGTCGTCTTTCTGGAAGAAGCAACACAGTGACTCCAACACCGAGGCCACCCGCGAACGCATGATGGGCATGGCGGGTGCAGACATGGACCCATATATCGTACCACCACTGTATCTCGCATGTCCCAACCTGATTCCCGACACCATCAACAACCGCGCCATGGAACTTTCATCGAATGAGACGCTTGAGGACGCTTGGGCCATCCACAAGTCTGGATCACGTACCAACTTGGCAGATAGCAACGCTCTCAAGCAAGAAGATTGGTATCCTAATAAATTCATCCCGGCTATGAAAGAGTTCCGAAAGGGCGACCTTGTCTGGGAGACCAAGACGATCAAGCAAGAGGGCGAAGATTTCAATCGCATGTGGTTTACCCTGGGTGACAAAGTCTACGATTTGACAGACTATTTCAAGACTCTGGACATGATGAACAATTTTCAACAATATCAGTTCCTTGACCCGAAGCTCATCGACATGGTGAAGAGCAATGCTGGATCAGACCTTCAAGAAGAATATACGAATCAGCTTAACCAGACAGCACAGGCATACAATCTGCAATGTCTGGAGAACCTGTTCTTCATTGGCAAGACTGATTTCCGCAAAACCGCAAAATGTCAAGTCAACGACTACATCTTGCTGGCTGTCACCATTATTCTCTGCACCGTTATTGTCGTCAAGTTCTTGGCTGCCCTTCAACTAGGTTCACGCAAACGTCCTGCAAACCAAGACAAATTCGTCATCTGTCAGGTACCAGCTTACACCGAGGGAGAGGACCAAATCCGAAAAGGTCTTGATTCGCTCACTGCACTCGCCTATGACAACAAGCGTAAGCTCATTTGTGTCGTGTGTGACGGCATGATCGTTGGAGGTGGTAACGATCGCCCAACGCCGAAAATCGTTTTAGACATCCTTGGTGTTGACCCCAAAGTTGACCCTCCTGCCTTGCCCTTTTGGTCAGTCGGCGAAGGAAGTCAACAACTGAACTACGGCAAGGTCTACTCTGGTCTCTATGAGTTTGAAGGCAATGTCGTTCCCTATGTCGTTGTTGTCAAGATGGGCAAAGAGTCAGAACAGCACAAATCGAAGCCAGGTAACCGAGGCAAGCGCGACTCACAGATTCTGTTGATGAGCTTCCTCAACCGCGTTCACCACCGTTCGGCAATGAACCCTCTCGAGTTGGAAATGTTCCATCAGATCAACAATATCATCGGTGTAGATCCAGAGCTATACGAGTACCTCCTCATGGTAGACGCCGATACGATGGTCAGGCCTGATGCTCTCAACCGTCTGGTGGCAAGTTGCGCCAACGATTCCAAAATTGCCGGAATTTGCGGCGAGACGAGTCTGGAGAACGAAGATAAGTCTTGGTGGACCATGATTCAAGTCTATGAATACTACATCTCCCATCACTTGTCGAAGGCCTTCGAGAGTTTGTTTGGGAGTGTCACTTGTTTACCTGGATGGTAGGTTTTTCCCATGCCAATATCCTGTACTATGCTAACCCTCTTCAGTTTCTGCATGTATCGTCTACGCACCGCCGACAAGGGCAAACCTCTCATCATCTCGGAGAAGGTCATTAGGGAGTATGCTGACTGTATTGTCGACACGCTGCACAAGAAGAACCTGCTGTCTCTCGGTGAGGATCGTTATCTTACGACCCTCATGACTAAACACTTCCCCAACATGTCTTACAAGTTTATTCCGGATGCTTATGCTCTCACGGCCGCCCCCGAAACTTGGAGTATTCTTCTTTCGCAGAGACGTCGATGGATCAACTCGACCATTCACAATCTTGCAGAACTTGTCTTCTTGAAGGATCTCTGCGGTTTCTGCTGTTTCTCTATGCGTTTTGTCGTCTTCATTGATCTCTTCGGTACCCTCGTCCTACCGTCGGTCTGCGCCTACCTCGTCTACCTTGTCTATACCGTTTCGTCTGGTTCTGGGCAGTTCCCCATGTTCTCCATCATCATGTTGGCTGCTGTGTACGGTCTTCAAGCGCTCATTTTCATCATCAAGCGTCAATGGCAACACGTCGGCTGGATGATCATCTACATCCTCGCTTTCCCGATTTATTCCCTCGCACTGCCTCTCTACTCCTTCTGGAAGCAGGACGATTTCTCCTGGGGTAACACGCGTGTCGTCATTGGCGAGCAAGGCACCAAACAGGTCTTGACAACTGACGATGAAGGCTTCGATCCCAAGTCCATTCCTATGATGCGCTGGGACGAGTATGCTGAGCGCAACGAACTCCCGGGACGTCGCGGACTTCCGGGCCATACTTCTGAGAAGGGCGGATTCAGTGCCTGCGACGACGAAGCCTACGAGATGAATGACATGCAATCTGTGTATTCGTCTGTCAAGCCCGCATCCACAATCATGTCCAACATGCAGCACATCTCCCACATGCCACCCCAGTCGCCAGGTCCATATCAAGGCATGCAAACGCGTCAATCTACGTACTCCAGCCTCACGCGCTATCAAGACAATCCCCACGACAGCCGTTTGATGTCAATGGGCGGCATGAGTGACCACTATGGCCGCCAATCACCATATGGCCAGCGGCCCAATATGGGAGGATTCCAGAGCTCGGACAATCTCATGACCTCGACACCGCCCATTCGTGGACGTAGTCCCCTTGGTTACGCCCAGTCACGACCAGGCAGCACTATGAATTTCCAGACTATGCAAAGTGGGCCATCGGACAGTATGATCATCGAGACCGTGCAGGGCTGTCTAAGGGACGCAGATCTCGACAAGGTTACCAAGAAGCAGCTCGTTGCGCTCACAGAACAGCGTCTACAGACTCAGCTCACGGGCGAGAGGAAGATTTTCCTCAGCCAGACCATTGATAACGAGCTTGCGAACATGTAAAGACAGAATGAAGTAGAAATTTTGCATTTGGGGCGGTGTTTATACATGTACATGTCTCCACGACATTTTTTTTTGCATCTTCGTCGCCACAGCTATCATCGGCATCGCCATCCATCATCCTCATTGTGTCGATCCTTTTCGTCCATCTCTCTCTGGCGCAATTTAGTGGGAAAATCATTTTTGGAAGTACGTTCGCGTTGTTGTTTTAGTTTTGGGGGTGTAATGTCACCATAATTGAGGTTATGGTTATACATGGTGTAGATATAAATAAGCAATTGGGATAGTCTTGTAACTCGTGGTACTTGGTTCTCTGTTTTTGTGAGCGCATAGCATTGTGTCGTGGTTACCCGATGTCGTCAGGTGTAAGGGTGTTGATGATACGAAACAGTTGCATTGTTTCTTCAAACTGTGGTTGTGGTGTACACTGTAGTGATAGAGGCATAGAGGCTGACGTACCACAAGTGCTTTCCTGACATAGTTAGCCTGTCCTATAGCTCCGCCTATCGCCGACATGCCCGACCCGATCATCCCCATGCGTTACTACCACCCAGCCAACACCCAAAAGGTGCTCGCTCCCCCTCTCTTCTCACCCAATACCCCGCCATGGCACCCAATCGCATCGAACAAGAGGAAATCGAAAAATACTGGGAAATCTTCAGCTCCCTCAGTCAAGGCGGAACACATCTCAACGGGGCGCAAGCCGCGCCCGTACTCAAGAACTCGCATCTACGCGACGACCAACTGGAGCGGGTCTGGGATCTTGCCGACGTGGACAACGATGGCAATCTCGACTTTGAGGAGTTTTGCGTGGCCATGCGGCTCATCTTCGACTTGATCAATGGCATCAGCAGCGACGTGCCCAAGACGCTGCCCGACTGGCTGGTCCCGGAGAGCAAGGCGCATCTGGTGCAGGCGACGCGTGCCCTGACAGGCAGTGCCGCCGCGTTTGAAACCGTCGGGGACGAGGACGAGGACGAGAGCGTGGGACTCCGAGACGGGTTCGACTGGTACATGTCGCCGGGCGACAAGGCCAAGTACGAGGAAATCTACACTGCGAACCGCGACAGCCACGGCCACCTGACGTTTGAGTCGCTCGTCTCGGCGAAATTGCGACTCGCTCGACAATGTGCCAGACTCGGATATCCGGTTCGCGTGGAACCTCGTGAACCCAAAGGCACGCGAGAGCGTCGGCAAAGACGCCGCCCTCGCCTTCCTCCACATCCTCAACCAACGCAGCGAAGGCTACCGCGTACCGCGCTCCGTGCCCCCAAGCCTCCGAGCCAGCTTCGAAAAAGCACACATCGACTACGACATTGACGCGCCGGCCAACAATCCAGCCGCCAGCCGCTGGGCCGCCAAAGCCGACGACACAACGGCCACGGGCCGCAAGGCCAAATTCGGCGACGCCTACCTCACCCGTCTCGGCGTGGGCGACCGCGCAGCAAACTACGGGGCCCGCGCAAAGGGCACCGATTTTGGCTCCCGCACCACCGAAGACTGGGAGCAAGTCCGGCTGCAGAAACAGCTGCGTGAGCTCGAGGCCAAGATTGCAGACGTGGAGAAGGAGGCGGAGAAGAAACGGCATGGTCGCAGTACAGATAGCAAGCCCGCGCTCGTCAAACGTGAACTCGAATTATTGCTTGATTATAAGCGTGGCGTGCTCAAGGGTTTGGATGATGACGACGCCGACGGTGGTGCGGCGGGGGCAGGGGGCGCGGTCAAGGGGCTTGCGGGTATTAGGGAGGATATTGAGACGGTGAGGGAGCAGGTGGATGGGCTGCAGGAGCATTTGGGTAGGAGGCGGGAAGTGTTGGAGGGGCTGAGGAGGGAGATTGAGGAGGAGAAGGCGCGGTGAGGGAGGCATGTGGTTGAGAGATGGGGATATTTCTGCACATCGACGTCGAGGTTAAAAGATGGAATAGATGGAATCAATCATGCACGGCTCCAACGGACAAGGAAGCGCGTCCCCTGGCTCGAGGACATTGGAGTTTCTCTCTACCAGTAGTATGCATGGTGAATATCAACACTATCAAACTTTCCCTCTCATCCGTCTTCCAAGTACGGCTCTTTCGCTGCATTTGTGTTTCCCGGTGACGAAACCGTGATCCTTGTTTGATGTGTCATGACAAGAACGAGTTGAGAGACTGGATTTCAGCTTCACGGCAAGGAAGAACCAGAAACTTGGACAGGTATGCGGCAGTGCAATATGGGTTTTGCTAGAAGACAGACTAAACGCTCATGATGCAATCAATACACGCCATGCAATGAAGTCAACATACACACAGAGAACACGCTAGACGTCTACTCCTCGTCACACACCCTGTGAAAGTCCTTGTGCGTCTCAGCCCCCTTGCCAATCAAGTCCTTGAAGCTGTGAAATGGGCAGCTGGCGCCCGGCCCATCCTGACAGTCGGGAATGGGTCTCGGCGCAGTATTAGCAAGGAAGCGTATATACTCGCCCGGCCCATCGCCGTGGACCGCACCGCGTTCGCACGTCATCTTCTCCATGCCCACGTGGCCGAGAAAGGGAATGAGGTCGCTCATCTTCCACGCGCGTGTCCAGTTGATGTGGTCCGTCGGGAATTGCTCGGCCGCATCTGAGCTGCTGTTGAACAGGCCGAGGGCGGTGGCGATGAAGGGGGGCACTTCGCGGTGCGTAAACGAGAGGAAGAAACGCTGCTTGTCTGGCCAGCCGTTGCCGGGGGTGCCGTGCTTGCTGATGTGCCGGAATAGTTTGGATTGCTCTGATAGCCAGGGGAAGCCGAGGTAGGGAGAGAGAGGATTCATGGGTCCAACCATGTATGCGTATTTGAGATCCCAGGCATATTCATAGGCCATCCATTCGGCATCTGTGAAGACTGCGCAGATGGGACTTCGCGTTCCCTTGATGGCGGATTCATAGCCGCAGAGCATTTGAAACCCAACAACGTCTGAAGGCTCGAGTGCAAAGGGTATGTGGGGGCCCAGACGATGTGCCACAGACTTTGCATACAGGTCGGTGATTTTGCTTTGTTGCTTTGTGCCAGGAGTTTTGGTGAAGGCCTTGCAGGATTTGTGCGGAATCAGGGATTCCATGCTGCCGTTTGTGTTTTGCGTCACACGAACAATCTCGACATCGTCTTCTTGAGGGAATGCCTTGATCATATTCGTAGCGGTGTCAAAAGTCCTGCTCTTCTTGTCCGCCAAAATACGTCTCGTGCCTGGTACGAGGTGGGGATAGCGTTGTAAAAAGTGCTTGCCGACTTGCTCTGCATCCACGGCGCCCGATGGGGTCAGGTTTTCCAGCTTGTCTTCCAAAATAGGTGACTGCCACTTCTCCATGAACGCCACGGGGCCAGACCATCCTTGTCTGTTTTGTTCCAACTTCCATAGGAAGGGCTTGATGTATTCTTCGTACTCGGCGTCGTTGGCGTAGATGGCACCGTGCCGGATGATGTAGGACGCTGCTGTCACATTACAGCCTTCGGGGGCTTTGTGGTCGAGGCCAAAGCCGACCGCGTCAAAGTAGGGTGATATACCAGGAAGATGAAGCAGGGGATCGAATGCGTAGTCCTGCGAGTGATCCTGGGGTTGCATCGGCTTCTGTGCGCCTGAGGAGAACAAGGCAGGCATGGCCGTGGCAGGCACCGCTAATATCCATGCGCAAGATAGCATAGTGAAGGATGCAAACAGTGCCATGCAAGTAAGTGGTGAGGCACCGTCTATTGACCCAGCGTGGAGCGATGATGGAAGAAGCACCAAGACGCGTTTTTTTTTTGCGTGTTACCATTGTTTACTTGGTGACGTCAGGTCCAAATTGGCAAAGAAGGGCAGGTGCATTATCTTTAGCGCCCCAGCCTTATCGATCCCATCCCCTCTCGGCTAACGATGGATGAGAATGTTGGCGAGCGGGTCGTGACGTGAGTGTGGGAAACTGCATGGCTGTCCATCAGTAGTACAGGCGAAAAAGGATGGCAAAGCAACGAGTAGAGTATGTAGTAAGCTCGAATAGAATAATCAGTGATTCCTACTACACCATACACCATGCTCGAGGAACCACCGCACCCGGCCATCTGTCACCTCTTTACCCAGACACAGTTGCCCAGGTATAAACTCTTGGAGAGTTCAGTCGCTGGCAAGCTTGCATGGCATACCAATTGACTACGATGACAAAGTAGCCGCTTGCATACTCTTGAGCCCATCTCTCCGCTCTCCATTGTTCCCCCCCCCCCCCCCTCTTGTCGCACTCTTCCCTCCACAAGCCGAGAGGAACGCCGATTCACCAAGACAGGTTGCACGGCACGGACTGCTTTCCGAATCAAGCGTTTTGCTGGCCGTCTTGGTGCTCAGCATATTTCCTCGCAGCTTCGCCATGGTGGCCAGCCTTATCTGTGCTCGAGAAGTCGCCTTGGACGAGTCGTGCAGCTGCTGGATGCAGCTCACCGAAGTGGTTGACGGGCAAAAATTGTCAAAGATGTTGGTTGTAGATGCTGAAATAGATCGCATCTCGAAGCGAGTGATCACGTCCTAATATATCAGTCGCCCCCAGTCGGGCCTTGCAGTCAGCCGAATGATCAAAGGATAGCTGTTGTCGACCACGAGAACGCGACAGAAAAGCAGGACACGCTGACATGGCGTGTGCATGTCCTAAGCCTGAACACGATCTCGTCGTCCGGACGCCACTGAAGACATCTTCTTGTCTGACGTGGACGGCAAAGAAGTGGTTCCGGACCCAGAGTAACGCTGCTGTCGAGAAGGGAAACGAGAGTCATACCAGTTGACATCAGAGAGTTGTAGCTTTCTGGCACGCTGGTTGCTGCGATTGCCACCGGCTTTGTCGAGACGCGGTTGCGCGTATGGATTCGGAGTCTTGTCCAGACCTTGAGAAGTTTCAGTACGCCGTCTATTGGTGTTGGGGGCAAGGGTCAAGGAAAACGGTAAATCACCATTGTCGTCGCCGTCATCTCGAGCTTCATTGTAGTTGAGAACGAGGCTTTTGATGCGCTGTTGTTCTTCCTTGTCGGCCTGCTGCTTGCTACGCATAGCTACGGCAAATGTCGAGTCTGAGGGCAAGTCAATGGATCGCGTCTGCGTTCGGTTGCCACGCTTGCTAAGGAGGGAGAACTTCATCGTGTGCGATGGCGCGACCGCAACAGGGACGGGCTCATTGGGCCCTTCCTCTGTATTCACGGCTACTTCTCGCGCACGGCGCATAGGCAGAGGGACATCGAAGACCGGCTTGCGTTCAAACTTTCGCGACTCGGCGCTCTCAGACATGAGCTTTGCGAGTTCGCGATCGAATTCGGCGTCAGCTTCAGGATCACGTTCGTCTTCCTGACGCGTCACAATGATCTGCTCCTCCTCTTCGTCTGATGAGCCTTGCTTTACGACTTCATCAGAATCGGAATCCTGTGGCAGTTTGTTAGTATCGGACATCTTAGGTGATGAGAAACACCTAGTACTCACGTCATCCTCCTCACCAGACGATTTATCTCCTTCGCCCTCGGGAAGTTCAACATCCTCGTCTTCAGGGCCGTCGAGCTCGTCGTCAGATGCAGATACATCGTCCTCATCAGCCTCCGCAGGCTTGTCGGTGGACGAAGTTTGATAATTTGACTTGACAGCCTCACTGAATGCTTGAGACGCTTCTTCGAGATTGGTAATCAGCTTCCAGTTTGGGCGCGTAAGATTGAAAGCGTCCTGGACGATGAACTCCACGTCCATCGGCAGCGCTTCTTTGGTGCAGACGTAGTACTGGAAGTAAGTCAAAAAGAAGTCGAGCTTCTTCTTGGCAGCTCCTTTGTCATAGTACATGCCGCAGGTCTCTAGTAGATTGCACACCAGGCGAATGCGAAAGTAGTCATCCGGCAAATCCAAGGGATTGTGCAGGCCCGGCCGGGCATAGCCGCCCTCCCAGCCATAGTTGAGCAGCTTGTACAGAGTGTCAAACACGAGGGGCGAATCGACTAGACGGTAAATGTATAGCTCGCCAAGGTACTTGACTTCTGCGATTCGTCGCTGGTTGAACTTGAAGTCGTTGAGTTCAAGGCCAAAGGTGATGGATTCGAGGAGATCGTCAATGACGGAGATGGCGAATTCCTGGTGGTGACGGAGGATCGTACCCAGTATGACGGCCAACAGGTGAATGTTGCTGTACTTGATCTTCCCCGGCTTGCTAAACACCTTGTGCAAAAGGTTGACAATGTCCTCTTCCTCCCAGTGCATCTTGCGGATTTGCCTGACCGTCTTGTCCAAGGTGCGACGAGTGAGATCCTGGTACATGATCTTGCGCAAGAACAGCTCAATGGGTGTGCGGTCCTTTTGCTCAATAGCGGCGCGCTCTGGTGGATTGACATAGTAGACGGCATTCTCAATCAGCATGCGCTCTTGCTGGCCAATGACTTGAGCGCTCTTCTTGCGCTGCAAAGTCTCCAAGAAGGAGGCCATGCGTGGAGATGTCTCTGGATTGCGGAGAAGATGGCGTCCGCAGTTTTCCAACAGATTACAAATGATTTCAATGTTCATTCGAGAGAAGTCATCCAAGCTAACCTTGAGGCAGTGAAAGATGACGTGCTCCGGCACAACACCGAATTTGGTCAATTCTGCGAGATATCGTACGTTCTGTGTTCGAACCTGGCCGAGAAAGTCCTTGGATTTGCGTCGCTGCAGGCTTCGGAATTCATCATCCAGATGGGCCACCAGACCCTGCGAGACATCGGGCATGTACTTGGCAAGCGTGGCGATGAGTCTGGAATAAAGGGGGAGCAAATCGGAACGTCCTTTGGGAATCTCTTGCACAGCCTTGATCAGGCGGTTGCGCGAAGCCTTGGAGTTGAGAAAGCAAAAGTCCATGGCCGTCTGATCAACGGCCTCCTTGGTGCTGAGTTCTGGGAGGCGCGCCAACAATGCATCCACTTGAGCTCCGACAGACTTGTTTGCAATCGCCATGGACTGATCATCCGCCTCCGTTGTTTTTGCTTCCGCTGCCGCATCTGCCGCGGCGTCCTTGTCGCTCGCCTCTGGCTTGGACTCTGCTTTCCTACCCACTTGGTCGTCGCCGTCACTCTTCTTTTTCTTGACTTCTTCGAGTAAGATGCCGGGAACGCGGTCTTTGAGGTCAATGAGGTTCTCGTAGAACCGGCGCTCCTCCTCGTCTTCCCAGATACCCGCTCCGTCACTCTGGCCGCGCAGGTATTCACCTGCCTTGATCAAGCCGATAGCGCCATTACCAGCATTCGCAGCACCGTCCTTTTCCTTCAAATCTGGCATTTCCACGCCCATGGCATCCGCCAGGACCTGGGCATTGGCCACTAGCCGTTCTTGGGCCTTCATTTGCTTTTCAAAGTTGGACTGGCGGTCCTCAAAGACCTCGCCTGACTTGACGTACGCTTCCGCATTCTTGCGGCTCTGCAGCGCGAGATACTTTTGATCGCGCAACAAGTGTGCCTTGACGTCTTCGAAGTAGCGCAAAAGGATGTTGCGGAAGCGCTGCTGGAGAGGAGGGGGGATGATGGGCGTGTCCTTGGGAAGCGTGTCTTCATCGTCGGCGCTCGAGGATTCGCCTGACTTGTCGCCCGTCGTGGTCGTGGTCCCGTCCTCGTGCACCGTCTTGCGGCCTTGTCGACTGGGCGTCTTCACACCCAAGATGTCCCAGGCAAACGCCTTGACGAAGATGACGACCAGCGGCAGGTTGGTGTGGTCGCGATCGTGTCCCAGCATGTCCTTGAGCACCTCGAGCGGGAACGGTTCGGCATCAGCGTTTTCGGCGCGCGACCTTGCCTTGGCCGATGATGGCTCGACCAGCTTGCCGCTGTCCTTGGTCTTGCCCGCCTCCTCGGGTCGAGCGACGTCGTCCAGACTGCGCAGCACGCCGACCAGCCAGAGCTCGGTGGCGACGCGCAACAGGATGCGCTGGCGGGCCAGACGCTCCTTTTCCTCGCGCTCACGGACATCTTGGGTCAAGGTCTTGAGGTGAGACTTGTCCGGTGTGGCGAGGCCCCGTCCCATGTACCAGCCCATGTATCCGGTGAACTCGGTGGGACCAAAGCGTTGGTGGAGGGCGCTGACGACTTCGACGCCGGCGGCGATTTCGGCGGGCGTCTTGAGCTTGCATAGGCCCTCGTAGCAGGCCGAGATGATCTCAGAGAGGTACTTGTGGAGGGATAGGGCGCGGACGTCGTGCAGGAGCTGGGCCTGGGCAGGCGCGCTGATGGCGGTGCGCAGGCGTTTGATAAACGCCGTGTTCTTCTTCATGGACGAGTCGAGGGAGGCCTGGACGGCGAAGACGTGCTGGTCGCCATTCCACACGCGGATGTTGAGCTCGCGAAGCTCGCCTGGGCCATCATGGTCAGCATACACATGCAATCCGCTTTTTCATTGCTGGCAGCCTGCTGCAACCCGGCTTACGTTTCCTCTGCCGCTCCATGGCGGCGGTGGTGGTGGTGGGAGTGGCGGCGGGGCGGCCACGGAGGAGGGGTGGCGGATGGCGGGCACAGTTGGATTATGAGCAGTGCACATGGAATATGGGGATTCTGTCGGGCGCTCGGGCGTGCATTTGTTTGGGCGGGGGCGGTTGTGGTTGGCGGTTGGCAGGCTCGCGACACAACCGACGAGCGTAGGGAAGGGGTAGGTAAGTATGGTAGTAGTGGGAGTGGCAGTGAGAGTGGCAGTGAGAGTGGCAGTGAGAGTAGCAGTAGCAGTAGCAGTAGCAGTCACAGTAGCAGTCGCAGTCGCAGTCGCAGTCGCAGTCGCAGCGGCAAAGCAGCGACGGCTGGCGGTGGTAATTCGGGCGAGGTGGTGGTGATGGTGGGGGGTTAGAGGTTGGGCGTGAAGTGTGGGTGCAGTTTTGAAGTTGCAAGCAGTCGGTCTGCAGGTACGGGCGGCGTCATAGCATTAGGCAGGTCGCCTACCCTATAGCTGATGCCTACTCTAGGTGATACTGCGCACATGATGCCTGCCCACTTACACATACATGTACCGGTACCTAGTGTAGGAACGAGAGTACAGTATGTACATGACTACTCTACCTACAACGGTACTCTACCGTGCCCCCTCGTCCACTTCACTCGAATGTGTCGAGGAGATGGGTGGTCAAGGTAGCGTACCATGGAATGGCGTGTCTGCGCTGCACTTGGCTCCCACTAGGATGAGTATCTAGTGATCTGGCTTCGGGTTCAAGAGGATGGCAGGAGAGAGAGAGATCAAGCTTGCAGTCTCCTGTCGAGTGTTTGGCCTAGATGTTCAGACTTGCCTGTGTAGTCATCTAGCCAAGGGTGGTATTGAAGCGAGAGGACCAACACAGTTGCCGTAAAGTACGTCTACCTAGCTCATGGCTTACTGTGTACCCATGTGCAGTTGTACCGGTATCAGGCGGGTGCGGGGTGCGGGGGATGGAGAATGGTATCGGGATAGACAGGTGAGTTGGATGAGTAGGTACAGCAGGTGGTCGTATGTACGGCGACATCTAGGCCGCTTGTGCTCGTCTACCAACCAGTCCATGTGGATGCCCGTGGCTGTGGGCGAGAAAGACGACGGGACTCTGTTTTCCTCTTCTTCTCTCGCTCCTTGTTCCCTCGCTCCCTCGCTCCCTCGCTCCCTCGCTCCCTGTTCGACCCCTGCAAACGCCAAGGCACTATCTGTCTCCTCCGCCAAGTTAATCCTCGCTTACAACCGTCTTACTGTATGTCGGAGAAAGAGACAGACATGGCGCAATCAGTGCTTATTTCTTTACTTCGGACGACCGATGACTGAGGGTAAATGCAGCTCGAGGCAAGCAGCCTTGTGAATAGGGAGTACAATACCCGGTCTATGCCTGTTGATAACAGCTACTCTACTCGACTGGATATACCCAAGCACATCGGAAACTTAGCCGTCCATCGGCTCCACGGCTGAGAGGGGAATGGTGCATGGCCATGATCCACTCGACTGGCTCCCAGCTTGCACCCACTCCTGATCACGTCCTCGCCCTGGGGGGGGGGAGCCACCAACATTGGTCTTTTTAATTTTTTCTTCACGGCAACCTCCACGGGCCACTGTGCCCTTTCTCGTATTCTCTTCCCTTTCTTTCCAGTTTAGCGTGTCGCAAATGCAGCGGACAAGGCCCCCATCCCCCCCCCCCTCTCTCTCTCTCTCTCTCTCTCTCGGACCCCTCAAAAAAAAAAGGGGGGGGGGGGGGAGGGAATGGGTAAGGGAGCCATGGTAGGCTCTATACTTCTTTGAGCCAAGACTGACGGATAGCAACAGCCTTTGCCGTCGCCACTCTAACCCTACCCTACTCATGGGCCATCCACTGCATTGTCGGCCAGGATTGGCCCCCCATGAGCGAGCGAGTACTAGAAAAACCCCTGACTTTTGTTTTCCGAGCGTCTATTGTGCCTTGGCCAAAGGGAAAAAACGGAGTGGGCGGAGTGGGCGGCATGGGGACCTCAACCAAGGCGAACTCTTTTGTCACCATGATGCCATGCCATGCCATGCCATGCCATGCCATGCGCATGCAGGCTCCATGAATAGACACGCACAGAGGGCCCCGCCATGGTCCTTGTACTCTACCTATGCACCTATCCTATGTAACCGTGTCGTGAATAGATACGAGTGTACATGCTGTTAGTACAATCTCCAGCTCTTCCTATCCCTATCCGCCGCAGGTCCCAGTCCCAGTCTCAGTCCACCCGTCGCCTTCATCGTCCACTCCCACAACGACGGCTGCATTGGTTTCCACCATCCAAGTAGGACACGCGCGGGATGCTTCGAAACACGACCCCAACACGGGACGAGCAACTCGCAAACGCCCAGAGCCAGTTAGCCCCCAAAAATAACAGGCGAGAGCAAAGTCCACGCTGCTCGTTTACCATGACTACCCTAGTGGTATGTAGTAGTACTACGCTCCATAATAATTCTACCATCTACCCTACCAGACTGGGCAGACACAAGGGGGGGGGGGACCAGTCGGCACGGGGCCAGAATTGGTTGGTCCTGCCCTTTCCCCCTCCCAGGCCCCCTGTGAGGATCGCGTGTGGGCGAGACATCGGGACAGCGCTCGCTCAATGTTTTCACGGTCCACCCTGGCTGGCCTTAGCGCTCCTCTGTTGCACTCTAGTCACTCACTCACTCACTCACTCTCTCTCTCTCTCTCTCTCTTTCTCTCGCACTTCCCTCTCCTCTCCCTCCAGGTGCTCCTGTCTCTATACTTCCTTGGAACTGCTCCCCCTTGCGTGCACATTGCACAATCATTTCTCCTCCACGAATGATTTGAATTGAGCCAGCTGTCTTTCGTTGTCCACCTCACAGAGGTCCCGCACATTCGTTTTACCTTCACCACCAACCCTCCATAGGGCCATAGCCACTTACCCTCGTTCTCCCCCTAAATCATCGGCCTTCCGTTTCCAGCAGCGTTTTCCTTTCAGCTTCTCTACCTATTCTGGAAATATCTTGGGTCGATTCTCTAGCCTCGTGCAACCTCTCGTGCCTTGTATCACCACCCCACCACAATCACAACGCACAGCAGCACACTCAGCCCGTCTCCTCGACAAACATCTACGGAGCCAGCGCTTAGCACTGTCCAAGGCCAACGCACACGCACAAGCAACTCCTGGAAAACACATCGAAAGAGCGATAGAGGGTCTGGTCCACTCTACACAGGCACATCACTCGCTTGGTACAAAACGGCTGGCCACTGCCCGAATCGGAGATAGAATACGCCATAATCCCGCCAGTTCGCTGGACGACTCCCACCACCACACACTCTCACTCGCACATTCGCCATGGTGTGGTCCGAGATGATGGGCATCTTCGCCCGAGCTGACGATTCCATACCAGACATTACTGACCCATGGCCAGTCAAAGACGTGAGTTGCCTGTCTATGCGACCATTTGTGTATACGCAGACTGACTGTTGCAGATTGTATACGTATCCATCGTCGGTACCCTCATGCTGGCTGCGCTCTTGGAATGGTTCCTCTGGGTCGCTGCTTTTCTGTACTGCATCGTCAAGGTTTTCCAGAAGGCCGATACCATCAGCATTCGCATCTTGTCCGTCTTCTTTGGTATCATGTTTTTCTGTCTTCGGTAAGCCATGGCCCACTCACTGCCTCCCTCCCTGTACATGAGGAGGCAGCTAACAGCGACAGTGCCATTTTCTTGCCCATCATGGTCGTTACCCTTCCGCTGCCCTCGCAGGTCGTCAAGTACTTTCCCCAGGACATGGTCGACTTTTTGCAGTGGTTTGCTTTCTGGTCTTTCGCCGGTCTATTGACCATTCCCTGGCTGTTTTGCGTCTATCAGCTTGTGACACACTCGGTCGGTCGGTCGCGCAGAATCAAGTCGGTTCTCGACGAGGCCTCTGCACCAAAGGTTGTCATCATCATGCCTTGCTACAAGGAAATCCCCGAAATTCTCCTTCGAACATGCGACTCGTTGGTCGACTGCGAATACCCTCCTTCTTGTCTGCACATCTTTCTGTCCTTTGACGGAGACCAGGAGGATGAATTGTACCTGAACACGATTGAGAAGCTCGGCGTTCCCCTTACCCTTGACTCCTACCCCAAATCCATTGATGTCATTTACCGTAGCTGTCGTATCACCGTTTCTCGATTTCCCCACGGCGGTAAACGCCACTGCCAGAAGCGGACCTTCAAGCTCATCGACAAAATCTACGCAGAGTACCTCAAGCGCAACGACAACCTTTTTGTCCTCTTCATTGACTCGGATTGTATTCTGGACAAGACGTGCATCCAGAACTTCATGTACGAAATGGAACTGAAGCCGGGTAGCAAGAAGAACATGTTGGCGCAAACCGGTGTCATCACCTCGACGACGGAAAAGAACTCGCTCATCACTCTACTTCAGGACATGGAATACGTCCATGGCCAACTGTTTGAGCGATCCGTCGAATCTGGCTGCGGCGCTGTCACTTGTTTGCCGGGTGCCTTGACCATGCTCCGTTTCTCCGCTTTCCGCAAAATGGCCAAGTATTATTTCGCCGACAAGGCTGAGCAGTGCGACGATCTCTTCGATTACGGAAAGTGTCATCTGGGCGAAGATCGCTGGCTTACTCATTTGTTCATGATCGGCGCAAAGGAACGATACCAGATTCAGATGAACACAGGAGCATTCTGCAAGACGGAAGCTGTCCAGACGTACCGATCGCTTCTGAAGCAGCGTCGCCGATGGTTTTTGGGTTTCATCACCAACGAAGTATGCATGTTGACAGACATTCGTCTCTGGAAGCGCTACCCAATTCTCCTCATTGTTCGCTTCATGCAAAACACCATCCGTACCACTGCCCTCCTCTTCTTCATCTTGGTCATCTCGTTGATTACGACTTCCCAAAAGGTTGCCAACCTCCCCGTCGGTTTCATCGCCATCTCCCTCGGGCTTAATTGGCTTCTCATGCTCTACTTTGGCGCCAAGCTCGGTCGTTACAAGATCATGTTGTACCCGCTCATGTTCATCGTGAACCCCTTCTTCAACTGGGTCTACATGGTCTATGGTATCTTCACTGCCGGACAGCGTACTTGGGGTGGTCCGCGTGCCGATGCTGGGTCGGCTGACACCAACAAGACACCCCAAGAGGCCATTGAGCATGCAGAAGCCACGGGAGACGATCTCAACGTCGTGCCAGAGACTTTCAAGGCTGCCGCTGAGGCTAACAAGCACCGCCCGGCCGCCATTCCCCTCCAGCCCTCGGACAATATCGATGGACGCTTCGCTCCCGCCGAGAGGCTACCCAACGGCTGGTACCAACAGGGCAACGACTCTGGTCTCACGCTACCCAACACGATGCCTCGCAACCCCAATGTTCCCAATATTCCTCTACATCCTCGCTCTTCCATGGACTCGTTTGTCTCGGGCACGTCTGCAAACAACTCCATTTACCTGCCACGCCGTGTCGAGAGTTTCATGGACCCAGAGGATGCTCGTATCTACCACAAGCAACAACAGACTCAGAAGCCTGCCGGTGGAGCCTACTTTGAGGAATCGCGACAGCCCGGACCTTATGAGATCAGCCAGGGCTCTGGAAAGTCTCCTTACCAGGAGTCTGTCGACTCACTACAGTCTGACGACTCGGTGTACATGTCCAAGGGTCCTCAAAGGCCTTCGCAGCAGCGCATGAACAGCGGCGAAAACCTGTCTGCAACCCGAACCCCTACTCAGAACTCACCTCTCTCCACCGAGTACGGCAACAGCCCACTGGAAGCGCCCAAGCAAGCGTACAGCCGAACCAACAGCGGCGGTGACCAACGCAGTGGACGCAGTCCCCTTGCTCGTCAAAGCTACATCAGGACCGCACCTGGCGAGAACATTGAGCTGCAAGCAGCCCAACAGGGCAGTTTAATGCGCGATGTCTCCCCTGCGCCACTGGGACAAAACCAGCCCTTGAGCCACGAGCGAAGTGAATCGACCGACTCGAAGAAGCGCAACAGGCTTAGCAAGGCACCGCCTTCCAGCCGCAAATGAATGATTCTTCGTTTGGCCTTGACAGTCCGTCCATGGCTTGCATGTGCCTTTTCTTTTTTTTATACACCACCAAAAGTCGATTATTAACGATGGATGGGACATACCCAGCAGCGTGCCTGGTTTCCTTTCCGCCCTTGCTGCGGGCATTGAATATTCGGCGTTCTCAAGCAACCGCAACCATCTTGAGCGACGTAAATGGTGTTTCATTGCTGTACATATACCACCACTAGCAAATTATCATCATGTCGGAAAGGCTTGGAACTCGCTCAAGGATGAAGTCGCACGATTTCTTGTTTGGGGATCACGACTGACGTCTGTCCCTTTACCTGGGCCTTTTGTTTTTCGTCCTTTTTTCCTCATTTTCCTCGCCACACGACCAATGTTTTTCGTAATCAACACTGACTTGGCGGAGATTCTGGGTGGCGCAGAGGATAGCGGAGTGGGCGTGGGAGACGGGCTTCCGAGGCGTATATCTGGATTCTGGAATCGGAGGACTATTTTGGAGCATATATATATGAGGAAGGTGGGGAGAGGGGAGACGGGGGTTTGCATAATGTTTTTTTAAACGAGTAGTTTGGATGAATACATGTCGGGACTACTTGGTTGTTGTATTTGAATTTGCGACGATGTGTTTGTATGTGGTGTGGTGTGTGGATGGTGAGAGTATGTATGTGGTTTACCGCCTAACCCTAGCCAACCCATCTATCAATTTCACCTCGTCTATCGTATCTTATCCGACTCATCTATTCCTCCGACAAAGACCTTGTATGAATGTGTCAGCACAACAATGTCCATGTCCATGTCTATGAGCATGAGCGTTGGCATCTCCCTGCCTACCTATCACTCCGTACATCTAAAATACATGCACGATCCATCCATGCCTCTCCTCCCTTGGAACAAAAGTCAGCAAAGGAAAGAAAACGGCACGTACTCGTCTAATACACCTTTTCTTCCTTTGCTGACTTTTTTTTTTTTGGGGGGGGGGGGGGGGGGGGGAGGGGTTAGGGTTGGGTGGGGTGGGGGGTTGGGTTAAAGGATGGGGGGGGGAGTAATGGTAAAATGATAATTAAGGGGGCGGCAAGGTGAGCAGGAGGTATAGTATATAAACATGGAGAGCATGGGTAGAGTGATGGGAGGCAAGTGTTTTGTTTTGTGATTTGATGGTTTATTATATTCAATCCGTGTTTTACAATCCGTTTGTCTTTTATACTCTGTATTTCCCCGCTCCCATCTCCCATGCCCAAACAATCTCCAGCCAAGGCCAACACCAAAGTCCAACACCAACCCACTCATTTGAAAATAAAAAAAAACCCCCACACGACCCCAAAACATCACCAACACACATCACACATCACACATTACAACACCCCATCCCAAATCCACCACGTAAAAGAACCAGCGCACAAAACAAAAGGGTAAGACGAGCGACGACCGTCTCCCATTAGATGAGAATACTATCGAGATAGTACCATCTCTCCACCCATCTCGAGTCGCATGATGATTATACAAGTAATTGCCATGTGGGTCAGTAGCAGTAGCAGCAGTAGCAGCAGCAGCCGCAATTGCATCCGCAGTATTCATAAACCCCGTAGAACTGAGGAAACCGCGTCCATCCCATGATGATGAAAAGAAAGAGAGAAAAGAAGAAAAAACACACCACCAGGCCATCATCTATCCTGCAACCCTCTGCTCGTCGCCCACACCCAAAACGCCTTCATCCGCGTGATTGAGAGACGCAAGAAAAGAAAAGAAAAATCCCCCCGGTTCGTGTTGAAGCCCTTTGATCGCGATAAAAGATTCAATGAGAACCCCCCCCCCATCCCCATGCATGCCGTCGGAAAAAGGGAAACATGCCATGAAAACGTCCAAAGTGTTTTGTACAAGTTGAGAAAGGAACAAATGTATGCGAAAAGCCCGGCTTTTTTGGCCGGGCAAAGAGAAAAAGACGGAAAAAAAAGGTGGATGGGCTAGCTTAACAGTCACTGTTGAGCTTGTGTTTGGGCCAGGCGTAACCCGTGTCTTCCCATTTCTGCACATTGGTCAGTATTTTTGCACGGTATTAGGCCCTGGGTGGGTCGTCAACTTACGGTGAGGTTCATGTTCGTATAAGCCCTTTTGTGTTTTTTAATGTATGCCGTCGTCTCGAAGCCAGGCGGGTCGCATGTAACCATTTCCTCGCCCTCCTTTTGGTATAAGCGTACATAATCGACGCGCATGACTGCCGGGAAAACCATGTGTTCCCAATCGATCCAGGTCCATGACTCACTAATTCCAAGATTGAGAATCAGGCTCATTGGTTCTTCCGAGACTTGGCGGGCTTGAATGTTGCCATTAGGACCAATTGCGCGACCGTCCATCATGAACATGGTTTCGTCTCCTACTTTCCAGGAGATGAAGGCATCTTCACCCTCGCCAGGCTGGTACTCAAACGAGTAGCGCTGATATGCCTTGCCATCAAACCAATCCTTGTTCAAGTTGGTGGTTGCGGATATAGCCTGCTGATAAGGACCGCCAGTGTATCCGTTATACCAACTGAGGCTATAGTCTGGGAACGCAGTGTAGTTGTAGTTGGGATACCAATACACATCGAATGGAGCCACCTGGAAACTCTGTGTGGCAATCGGCATGTTGTGTGGCGGGTAAGTAGCTCCGACCTCGATGATATCGATTTCGGGCGCTCCCCTTCCGGTACCTGGAGTCGGGTGATCTTCGCCAGGGCATGTGCACGAGGGCAAGCGTTGACCGGGTAGATTGGATAATCCATCAGAGCTTGATTGATTTGGAGTGATACCTACATCGCAAGCCTGATATGTATATGGCCACATGCCTTCTGTCGTACTCAAATATCCCGGTCGACCTAGGTTACCCATAGTCCACGCGCCGGGCCACAATCCCGGCGCACCGCCTGGTCCTGGCAGAGAGACCGAAACCTCAAAGATGCCGCCCTTGAAGCAAAGCTGGTTCCAGCTGTTGAGCATGCCTGAGCGAAAATCAAGATTGTGATTCCTGAACTTGTCGAGCCTAAGTTCCAGCGCGCCGTCATACGTGGTGACAGCATCCGGGTCGTACCATTCCAGATCCCTCGTCGCGCCATACCAGAAGTCGCCGGCAAAGAAGTACGGATCATCACCCTCGTAGAACGTGCGGTTGTTTTGGTTGAACTCATCGCTGAACACCAAGACATAGTCGTCGCCGAACTCGCCCTTTCTTTTCTTGACTTGCTCAGGAGTGTCGGGGTCGATGAGACCGTTGCGCATCTCAACCAAGTGGGGATACAGTTTGTTATTGACGGTTGCCCATGGTTCAGGCCGGGAGGGTTGCGGCATCATGCTCAGTGGGACGCCAAAGGAGGAGTTGTAGTCGATGATGCCGGCGGCCGAGAGCACTGGAAGGGCAATAAAGATGAACAGCAGGCCAATGATCATGACAGCAAGACCAATGGTGGAAATGATACTATCTTTCGTAAAATGATCGCTCATCTTGGGCCTGTACCGAATGTCATCGTCGTCACGTGGCATGTGCATCTCGTCGTCGTCTTCGGCGGCATCACCTACCAGCGGCCAGGCGGCCATACCTTTGGCCTCATAGGGGGCGTTTAAGCGATCATCAACGAAGGAGAGGTTCTTTTCGGCATCGTACAAAGTGTTCAGCTTGGTGGTGGACGAGTTGGGCGTGAGGAAAGGGTTCGCGGGCGTTGTGAGGCCGAGCGGCGTCGTGGCCCCTGCCAGCAGGAGGTTGCTCAATGAGCGTTTCTCCGAAAACGAACTGCGTGCGCTGGAATTTCTGGTGTTGTGATGGGCAAAAGGGTTGAAGTAGCGAGTGTAATCGGTGCCCAGGTCCTGGAGCGTCAAGGCGCTGTCGGTTGAGCGCAGGGGCTGAAGAGGCAGATCTGGGGTACTTCGGTGTTGTGAGTGTCGTAGCAAAGGCCGTGGAGTGGGCCGTATCGCGGGACCATTACTCGATGCTGAATGGGAAGGGTTGAGGGGCGATGAGACAGGCGGTGAGAATGGCGAAGACGGGTGGTGGGAGGCTGTGGGGACGCCAGAGTCGATGTAGTCATGGATATGGTCATGGATGTGATCATGATCGGGTTCGTGGTCCTGGAGGTCGGGCTCCGAGGCTGAGGCCGAGTTGGAGATCCGATCTTCCCCAGAGTCCCGCGCGTGTGGGTGCAGATGTGGGTATGCTGATGCTGATGCTGATGCTGATGCTGATGCTGATGCCGATGCCGATGCTGATGCTGATGCTGATGCCAATGCTTCCTCCCTTGCGTCGTTGTGGGCCGCTCCTTGTTCCGCTCCGATCGTTGCTTCCTTGGTCGCACTCACTCTCGACGTTGACCGCCCAAGATGCGAAAAGTTGACGGCATTGTGGTGATCAGAGCGAGTCGATGAAGGGGGCGACGCAGCTTGTGACGAGGGGGATGACAACGAGGGCGGTGGTGCTGGTGGGCCCATGGCGTCCAACTTGTAGTAGCGTTCTGACGGGCGTTTGGCTACACAATTCGACAACCTCGTTCCAGTCGGTATATTATTGCCTGATTCCCCACCGGCTTGCGCGAGCGACAAAAAGGGCCCTGTAGAGCAAGCAAGAATAGACAGAGGTCGAGTGAGCGTAATGCAGGTCCGACAAGGGCGCGCGAGTGCGCAGAAGCGAAAGCAAGCTCTGGTGGTGACAATTATGACATGCTGCCAATTGGAGCGAGTTGGGCGGCGCAGCGGTGTTTACAATGAAAGTCGGCTTGCAGCAGGACGGAGACGAACGGGAGGGGAGTAGTAGGTAGATGATAAAGGTCGACCGTGGATAGCTGTTGGGCCGTTGGCTAGCGTGGTTGCTGGAGGCTCAAGATTGTTGCATGTACCGGTACTGTTGTTACCTAGGTAGCGTACGGTAGTGGTAAATAGTTTGCAGGTGAAGCTTGGCCACCGGCCTTGCTCGTATACAGTATAATACTGGTAATGTACTATGCAGGTGTACCTAGTACGATGAAGCCCAAGTCGCGGCTTACTTGGATACCGTATACGTGGTGAATCGTCAGTCTTGGTCGTTGTTTTGTCGTGTGTGAGTGCAACGACTCCCTATCAGCATATGCACCCCCATCAAATCAAAAGGCCATGGCAAGGCCGAGGAAGGGCATGGCATTTTTTTCTGTTGGGTGTTGGAGCGGGAGAGACAATCATGGATTGCATGGTACAAAAGTGCTCGTGAGCCCGTTGCCGCCTCAATCCACCAATCGCACGCCCTTGTCACTTTCACCCAATTTGCCATTCAGCTCCCGTTTTGGGCCTAGCACTACCGCTTCGCAAGGCTCAGAAGCTATCTTTGTCACTGCGCCCGAAACTGCAGCAAGGTATGGGGTGCAATCTTGATACCTAGACTAGCTTGGTTGGTTCGTTAACGCACCTCAGGGGTGAGTGGACTACCCGGCTAAGACCCTACTAAAACTTCACCCTGTTATAGCCTTTTATAACACACTCTAGCTCTATATAAAAGAAAATTATATCAATTACTTTTGATAGCTACTTTTGCTTCATTTTTACACAAGTTATAGTTAAGCTATAGTTTAGCATTCTTTAAAGGTCCTTCTTTATATTAGTATCAAGGTTATTAGGTAATAAGGTACAGTTTTAGTAGGGTCTTAGTACGGCAGTCTACTTACCTATATAGTCTACTTATCTATAAGGCAACGTTACATTATCTTTATTTAGAATAATACGCGAACACGGCCATCACGCGCGCAGCCTCGGTAGACCTTCTAGTAACGTCTTCTTCCCCACTCCGTCAAATTCTTCTCTAAAAATAGAGCGCGACTAGGGGACAAGGGGTCGCCCAAGCACATCATATACAAGGTTGCAGGAATTCCTCTCAAAACTCTATCAGGGAGCGACTTGTCCAAGTTCAATGTTGCCAAGCGTTTCTCTAAGGCAGCGAATCGGCAGACAACAGAGGGCAGTGTAGAAGAAGAGTTTGCCACGTCAACGGCAGAGCGAACGACCGAATATATAGCTTCTGCGCCTGCTCCCTCTTCCGAGGCATCCCCGCCGTCTCAACCCGTGAAAAAGCCTTCCTTGATTTTGAAACTCAGACTGAAGAAACAACCGAAGAAGAAGTAGCAAGACTCCGGCATTTAGCGGGTTCGCGTATGCAGATGAGAATACAGGCGCTTTATAAAAACAGGCTTCTCTTTGCATGTGACTCCTGTGTCGTTTATGATGCTGATGATCGTTTTCAGCATTCATAGACATAGCCAGGAGCATCATCAGATGCCCATAAATATCTCAGTACGTAGGTCTTAAGCGTCCAATCATTTCATAGCATGTGCCATGGCGTTAGGTTGATAACTATGGGAGGATGTGATGCCTGATCGGCTTTTGATCACGACCGCGTCGTCATTACTCTGGGTATAATCTTACTGTCAGAGTAGGGCAAGACTTGTTGAAGAAGTAAGTGGGGAGCTCGTTACGGATTTCCATCGATTAGTTGCTGAGCCAGAGCTGACGCAGCCCACTGCAGCCCAGTAAATTTCTTATGTTTTAATGCAGTTCTAGATTTTCCCAATTTTTTTTCCTCATCATCTAACTGGCGTATACCTCATATTTCATGTAAGCATGAAGAAAATTACCACAGTCGTAGAGACGTGACTTCGTTGGCCGTTTTTCCACATTTCCACATCTCCTCCAGTTTGTTCATCCTCAGCCATAGTCCTTCTCCATATTGCACATGCGCCAACCACTTTACCTTCTTGCTATGTTGCATAATCAACAATGAAAGTCCAGCGAGTCGTTGGAGTTGGCAGGCGATGATGGTCGCGAACACAGCCCGGTATTCTTCGGCAGTATCGATCTGATATCTCCCCATTGTAATCCGGGTTTTTGGTTGGAGTTGCCTCGACCCAGACGATCTTTGCTGTTGTTGCGGCTGTTGTTGTTCTTGTTGCTGTTGCTGCTGCTGCGGCTGACGATGATGTCTTTCTCTGCGACTACGGCTATCGCTCCGGGCTCCCTGAGGATGGCCCTGCTTGCCCCACCATTGCGCGACGTCCTCGAACCCAGTCATGAGCTTCTCATATATCACCAGCATTAACATACAGATGCCTGAGTCTTGTCGACACCCGTGACATTGAGACAGGATGAGGCACCGAGAGATGTTGTTTTTGAGAAGAAAGATTGTGTTCTCCGCCATAGCCCAGTCGGCACCGACGGGGGGTATGACGACTTCTTCGAGGATCTGTAGAGCCGTGTCCATGCACTCGCAGTCTCCATCGTCGTAGCTGTTGTTGGAATCCTCGTATGAGTCTGTATCGATATCCGTGCCGTTACGTGACGAGCTTGAAGACGGTGTTTGGGTTGAGTCGGATGTGTTTGACTTGGAGTAGGAGACGCTGCTAGTCTCAGAAGAGGAGGTCCGCATCGGTTGGTCCAGAGGATCAAGCGACTGGTGTTTGCTTGAATCGAGGCTAAATGGGCGGCTAGAACCGTCTGAGCCTCTGTTCTTGCTGTTGAAATTGCCGAGTTGGGTCAACGTTGAATTGGACAGATTTTCAACTATTGCAGTACTGAATAAGCATGCGATGCAGCGAGCGCGCCTCTTACGAGACGAAACATATCAGCTGGAGCTTACCTGGCATGTGGTTGTGCGAGAGAAGTCTATCCGGACCGAATGGATCAAGTAGTTCATCAAAGCCACCGTGTGGATTGTTCAAATATTCTTCCCCAAAGTCAAGGAACAATTCGGTATCAGAGTCTTCGGGACACGTTGCTACAGTCTGAGTATTTTGTTTTACCGCATCTGTTTGAGAAACAACCTGCTGAAAACCTTCTTGCTGATTTCGAGGCCCATTCTCGCGTGCAATCTCTCTATTGCTACGGTTGCTGCTGCTTCCCTTCGTGGTGGTGGTGGTGGTGCCGCTGCCGTTGCGTGATCCGACATCCGAGCCGGATGACATCGTTTGATCTTGAGATTGCTGTCTCGGTGCCGGTGCTGTGCTGGGAATTGCGACTTGGATGCAGGACATATCATTATCATCCCAAGTGTGTCCGCTCCCTTGAGCAACTGTCCCGGATTGCTGATCGCTACCATTACGTCCGCCTGGTGTCTCTGGACGCTTAACTTCAGCTGATGCCCCTTCTTGCCGCTTGCTGTTGCTACCGCCTCGACTCTTCTGGGCATCGTATACACATCGTGTGCCACGCTGTTGGCACCGACGACATCCCACTTTCTCGCGGCTGCATCGAAGCTAAAGCTACAGTATTAGACTTCGAGACACGATATCTCGCCGTGATTGTCAGAAAGGGGAAACCTACCTTTTTCTTGCGGCAAGAATTACACGCTACATAGGATGTGTTATTAGGCCGGCCCAAGCGATCCGTCGCGTGAAGATTCTGTATCTCGGTTGCGTCCTCCTGGCTGCCGCATTTGAACGTCATGAACATGTTGATCGGCCATCACCTAGTGTCGCGGACGTTGAACGTACGCATAGGAAAGAAGTTGAGGATTGACTAAGGTTGTATTGTAGAAGCTACGGGAAAGTTTGTGTAGGTGAGTGACCATAAACAGCGCTATTCTCAGATAGGCATCGTCCCATCACCAAACCGTGACACCTAGCGATCAGCGATTAACACTCCCGACCTAAAGGTAGGAGCGACAAGGGCATACGCACGTCATGGTCATGTTGAGCGGGGAATCGGTTGATGCCAGTCTTGGTTCTATGGCCGGCTTATCGCCGAAGCACGACGTTGCACAACGTCGTCGCACGCAATCAAAATCTCCGCGCCCTAGTGGAGTCTCATTCACGGCGAAAAGGATCTCCCATACGTGTTGAACCTGCACAAGACAGACCGTTCCAGATCCGCTGTTTGATCGAACCACTTTCTCTGCTTCAACTTAGATACTCACATGGAGGATGGGATCGTACCTATTGCTGTTGGATCGATTGCTAGAATCCGAATAAAATCTTGCCTTTCTTATTGTTGTTTGTGAGCTTCTTGCTGTAGACTGAGACGTTGTTGTAGGTCAAGGCAGCTCCAGAGCGGTCGTCTTTTCTCGCGGCCGAGTGCCGGTGAAGTCAAGGTTAGCAAACGCGCTGCAGCTTGAGGACACGCTGAGTGAGACAGTCTGCGCAGTGCTGCTCTTAAAAAGGAAGCTGGAGGTAGAGTGGGAAGCCTTTAAAACATTACAGCGAATTGGCTGCCTAACTGGTAGGACTGAGATGCGACTCCACAATGCCTACCCGTCAGGAATCGAGACCCTGCATATGAGGATAGGCCCGCGGCCCGCATCGTGCTAAGCATCGTGCATGGATTAAAGCAGTTAGCCCACAGATTCGTAGGTGGATGAGACCTACGATACCGATGTCAACCGCTTGGCCTATGTGGAAGGCATTGATGATGGGAAGTGCTAATTGTCCTCGCCACAATAGACTAATCGTCCTCGCCCTTACCACTTAGCGCCGGGTACCCCAGCCGCCTAGCAAATTAGTAGCAAGCTAAGGTAGCACTAACTATATTGTGCTTTTAAAACGTATTAGATAGAAAATATCTAGTAAGGAAAAATTCTAGGTATACGTGTAAAGTAGACTAGTAGTAAAAAATAAGTAGTAGTAAGGCTATTTAACCTAATATATAAATATTATATAGTAATAGAATCTTACTAAAACACGCCTAAATATCTAATTTCTTGTCGCTTAAATATATCGCCCCTAACCTAACTAATATTACCTACTACTATAGAGTTAGCGGGCTCTATTAAGCCTATAGAGCTACTATTACCTACTACCTTAGAGGACTTACTAGAGTCCTCTACTAAGGATTCTAATATTAAGGAGCCTAATGTGGAAATTTGGATTACTAAGGTTAGGAATGATTTAGGAGATAGATTATTAGATTATATCTACTACGATCGTACTTATATATATAGAGCTTTAGCTACCCTTACTAGAAGGTAAATAATTAGTAAACCTTCCTTACTAGAGCTCCTGCTTTTTATTAGGCACTTAGTAGTAAGCTAGCAGTTAATTAGATAGTAGGTTATACAGGGGTATTAATTAGGGTTAATTAGGATTAATTAGGATTAAGATACTCTATAATCTAGTTAATATCTCTCCTGTAACACACCCCCTAGGTATAGGTAGATCTTTTATTATTATAGTTACGCTTATAGTTAGTAGATAGTGTAGCTAATTAGAGTGTTGTATATCTAAAGGGTTAAATTAGCTTACCCTTTAGATACTAACTAGCGCGCCTTCCTTATTTAGCCTACGCTTACACACGTAGATATTATCTAGATAAAGCTCTATAACTTTATCTACCTAACTATAATCTTTACTATAGCTTAAGTTATAAGATTATATAACCTTAAAGATCTAAACTATACCTATATCCCTACTAACCTATATCTTAGTTAAAGTTAAAAACTACTACTTATACTTACTCTACCTATACTACCCTTATTACCTCCTATACTACTAAAGCTACTATTACTAAAGCTACTACTACTAAAGAAGAGCGCGCTACTACTAAGCGTAAGGCTATTATAGAGCGTATAGTAGCTAAGCATATAGCTACTACTACTATAGTTAAGATTACAAAGCTAAGGAAGGGCGCTCCTACTCTAGCTCCTACTACTCTAGCTCTAACTCTAGCTCCTGCTCCCTCCTAGACCCTACCCTATATCCCTACTCCTGCTCCTGCTCCCTCTCTAGCTCCTAAGGAGACCCTAAGATCCTCCTATTATAGAGAGCCTAGTATTTATTATACTAAAACTTATCTAAATTATCTACGCTCTGCGCTCTTTAATAAGTCTAATAGTAAGTGCTATAACTCTTCTAGTAGGGGGACTTAGTACTAGTAGTGCTTCTCTAGGTATAGCTATATCCTAATATATATAATCTATATAAGAATTTTTCCTTTATAATACTTAGTAAGATCTATACTAATAAACTAATAGCCCTAAGCTTACCTAATATTCTGCGCTATCCTTTCTAGCAAGGAAGTAAGTAGGTAAGAGCTAAGACCTTCTTAAGGATAAGAAGTAGAGGGTCTTAGTGCTCCTTAAGGAGAGTAAGGCTAAATAGCAGGAGCTAGTAAAAGCTACTGCTACTGCCGCTAAGCTTGCGCGCAAGGCTGCTTCTATAGCTAAGGGCGCCTAGAGCTCCTTATTAGAAGATAAGGACTCTAGCTCCTCTAAGGTTCCCCCTATAGATCCTAGGGTAGGGTAACCTAGGTGGCTCCCTATAGACTCTAAGGCACGCTTTACGCGCGTGATAGAGCTCCTTAGGGAAGCTACCTAGTTAATAATAGAGAGGTAGGCTATAGTTAGTTATTTTTATATTATATATTAATAGATCTTATATACTACCTTACTTTAATTAATACTATATAATATATGCTCTGCTATTATATAACTTTAGGTGCTCCCTAAACCTTATAAATTATTATATAGTTAGGTTTTTAGTAAGCCTATTAGCTAGCATATTACTAGTAGGTAGGTAGGTAATATAGAAAGATCCCTTTATATACTCTTACCTAAGCTATATATTTTAAATATCTATATAGCGTAGCTTAGTAGTAATCCTTTTATTATTACCTACTACTAACCTAATAGTTTATTAATTATTATAATTAATTATCTAGGTAGTATCTAAAGTAAGGTGTATTTTAGTTAAAAAGCGTTTTAACGCTATTGCTTCTTTACTTACTTACTTAAGCGCAAGGAGCTCTACCTTAGTAGTTAAAGTAGTAACAGTTACTTATTAAGCTACCTTCTAAATAATAGGTCCTCTAAAGAGCGTAATTAGGTATCTATATAATAATTGCTAAGTATTAATATTATTAGCAAATAACGCATCACTATATATTATAAGCTTATTAGGATCCCTATTCCTATATTAGATTAATTAGTATTAAGTTTAGTATAGATAGACAATTACTTAATTAACTGTATTAAAGTATTATTTAGATAGGTTAGTAAGGTATTAGGAGAGCTAGGAGGCTATATAGGCAATATTAGGGCGCACTATAATTAAGGTGTAAAGGATTAATCTAACGCGCTCCTAATAGTCCTTAATCTCTTTTTTAGTGGCTTCTCCTGTGCTCTTTTTAATATCTTTACTTAATAGTAGTGTAGCAGGGAATTTTCCTATCTCTGCTAGATTAAATTTCTTTGTAATCTTGTTAATATATTTATTATAAATAAGCGTTATTATCTATCTCTTTCTATCCTAGATTACTCTTACCCCTAGAAACTAGCTTACAGGTCCCTTTTCTTCTATAGTATATCTTTGCTTTAGAGCTTAGATAACTTTATAAGCCTCGCTTGCGTAGTTTTAGTAATAGAGTGATAGGATATTATCTACATAGAATATTAACAAGATACTACAATCTCTATTAAAGAATAGGCATAGCTCCTCTTTAGAAGTAATAAGCTTATTTTCTTAGAGTATAGTTAAGAGCTTATTATACTATAATAATAGTAAGTCTTTTAGTCTATATAAAGCTTATTTAAGCTTAACACACTTCCTAGGTATTTAATATCCTTTAGGTAGCTTATAAATAACTATAGGGTATTAATCCCTTAAGGTGTTAAGGAAAGCTCTAACAACGTTATATTAATATATCTTAAGGTTAAACTTAGCTCTAATAGCTATTATAGTCCTAAAGGTTTAAGCTACTAAGGTAGCTACGTAGGTTAAATAAATTAAGTTAGTAAGCTATAGATCTCCTCTTACTACTATCCTTACTTTAGACTTAATTAGGTAACTATCCTAATTAAGCTTATATATAAACACCTATTTAAGTAGGAGTAGATACTCTCCTTTAGTTAGCCTATTAATCTCCTCCTAGGTACTAGCTTTTAGTAGAGTATTAATTTCTTTATATGCTACGTCTCTAAATTGCTATCCTATTTAGTGGTTATAGAGATCCTTCTATTATTTTAGCTCTTTTTATAGAGCGTCCTAGTGCGTATTCCTTTTAGGGTTTTTAGGAGATTTACTCCCTATTACTACTATAATTATAGTATAGATTATAGCGTTTAGTTTAGGATATACTAAAAGATTATATAAGGGATTTCTAATTAGATCTATATTTAATAGATCTATTACTATATATATCCCTATACTTATAGATCCTCCTAGTAGTTTATTAGGGTCCTGTCCCTAAGCTTGCTTACTAACACGCGTTAGTAGCAGTCCTTTAACTTGCAGTTTTCTACTTCTTCTAGGAGCTCTAGGTGCCGCTTATACGGGATCTACAGGAGATACAGAATCTAGTCCTAAAGTAGGTAGGTAGGAGCTCTGCTTACCACCCCTATAAGAGCTAGATAGGGTGCCCTTACCTATCTCCGTGCTCTTATAGAGTAACCTACTAATAGCACTCTCCCCTCTAGGTCTTTCCTAGGAGCTACCTATTAGTAGTCGGTTAAAGTAAGTTAGATTACTACTATCTTAGGTAGTATAACCCTAATCTATAACCTATATAGATCCTTTATCTCCTATACTAAAGTTTAGTTCTAGTATTAGTTTAGGAGTTTAGAGCCCTATTAGCTTAGGGGACTTTATATAGATCCTTTATGCTAAGCTAGCTATACTTAGTACCTACGCTAGAGGTGTCTGCTTAGGGGGTTGTGAATTACTAGGCTGGCTAGCCTAATTATCTACCTCCTCTAGCTCTACCCTACCCCCTAGCTCCTACGCTAGGTTTAGTCCTCCTTGCTTACTAGACTCCTTATATTGCTCTGCTATAATACAAAGCTAATTAAAGATATTAAGCTCTTTATATACTTCTCCTATATCGCGGATCTTATCTTTGCTAATAACGTTAACTA